CCGCTCTTTCTATAGTGAGTTCTCCGTTTTTCCGTCCAAATCTTCAGCCGTTCTTCGAAAAAGAATTTGTGGGTTTAAGCCAAATTTGTTGCTTATGGACCAATATAATCGAGCTTTATTTGATTATTTGCTTAGTCGTATGGCTTTTGATTTTAGTGCTGGCACAACCAGTGCCATCTCTGTGTCCTGTTTTCGCGGCTTCTCCTAATCGTACGTACCCTTAATAACGCAACGAGTATTTAATTTTATTTTCTACTTATGCTATAATTGTGTACTACCATAAGTCCGTTAGAGTATCATGAACTTGTCACGGCGTTATGTTTTGTATCAGATTCGTTCATTAGACCTTCGGACAAATTATATCTATCTGCAATTAAATTGCAACCTTAATAATAAGGCCGCTGTAATTTTTTGCTAGTTAATGGAGATGCCCTACAGTTTATGCAAAGTCATTTTAGTTGCTATTACCAGTTGAAAACACATGTTTTAACCTTGGCTATATATAATTTGTGAATATATCATTGTTAAAAACGGAGAACACTAAGGTTTTTTATTACGTGGAAAGTAAAAGCTAATTAAACCACAATGAAAACCAAACTTTTCAAATTCCTTGGATTACGATTCATACGAATGAAACTAATATTCATTACAAGTAAGGGGATTATTCATGGAACGGAGGCCTTCGATTCACTTCCATGCATGTAACCGAAACAAGTAAATGCAGAAGGCTATTTGACCGTCTTCTATATATTTGTATATTGGTGAACCTTCGCTATTGGTACTAAGCAACGTGGCAGTTGTCGCTATTAGAAACAGCGAGGTGTAGTTATTTCTCCAAAAAAAAAATTATATATTTTTAGTTTCTTTGGCTTTGTTGCTCTGTTTGCATGCATGGAAAATAATACTACGTAATTTTCGCTTTTATTTAGCAGGCGTTATGTCAATTAGTAGACCAAACCACCAAGTTGGTTATCTTCGGGAGGTCATTCAAGGCCTTCAAAGCACAATGCCTGCAGATATCAAACTTAAGCCAGGTGACAGCAAGATCGCCATCGCTGCCCACAAAATGATCTTGGTATTTTCCAGATTTTCTCTGTGAATCTTGTAATCTTGTTATACTAAATTCCACGTGGAGTTTAAATAGTAAATGTTCTTCTTGTACTTGTTGGTTGGATCTTGTGCTTTTCTTGATGACTTTTGTTCGTTAGTCGGCCGGTTCGAAGGTGTTCAAGGAGATGTTTGAAAGCACGAAAAGCAAGGTGGTCACTCTCTCCGAGCTGAAGCACGAAGAGTTGGAAGCTTTTCTTGAATTCATTTACAATGGCTCTTTGCCCTACGATAATCTCAATAAACATGTCCGCTCGCTCTACCTTGCTGCGAATAAATACGAGGTTTCATATCTTGGAGATATATGCAGAGACCACCTTGTATCCACCCTGTCGTTAATGAACGCCATCGAAGTTCTAGAGCTATCTTGTGTTTTTCCCGATGATGCCCTCCAAGACGCTGCATTCGATTTTATCGTCGAGAATCGGTATGTATATTCAGCTGAGTTCAAGCCGTTCGCCGAGAAGTACCCGAGCCTCGCCCTGGAGATAACGTTGGAAATTTTGAGGGGTTGCACTTGCTGGTACTCGAAGAAAGTTAAACGGAAATAGAGATTTATAGTGCTTGTATGACTTAAAACAGAAAATATATAGTAGAACACACACACACTCTCTCTCTCTTCTACATGACCAAAACTCTCTCTCCCTGTAATAACTTTCTTTTTAATGCAAATACCATAGCTAGTGAGTTCGTTACAGATGGGGATGTCTTTTTTTTTTTGCATAATATAGATGGGGATGTCCACCACCATAGCTAGTGAGTTAACTCGGAGTCAACTCATTTTGAGCAGGGTGGTCTTAGTTGCACTTATTTTATAGGCAAAGGATAAGGAGAATGGTTTTCATAATTAACGTGAAGTGTGTGCAGAGTTTATGCACAAGTTGGAGACGCTTGTAATCAAGAAAACTGCATAACAACACATAAATGATAAGCATATTTTATTTTGTTAGATTTCCTTCTATTATCCCCTGCGGATGAACTAGAAGAACTTTTTATATATAAAAAAATTTTAAACCTCACTAAAAAAACCAAACTTGGAATTGGATTCATTCGATACTCCCAATATTAAAACTAATAAAAATTACACTGTTGGGTTGCTGAGAAAACAGTGTAATTTTCTTGAGTTTCCTTTCTCTTCTTATTGCAGGGCTATCTAAGGTAGATGACAACAGAAACACGCAAGAAGGGTATTTGACCGTCTTCTATATATATATTAAATTCCTACACATGCAAAGTTTATGATTTAAATGCAAAAATTTTTCTTTTTTCTTTACTGAAAAATCGTATGCAGTTCTATGTACGCAAGCTTAATAAATATAGGTTATGGTGGTAAAAGAAACAAAAACACGAAGAGTCTTGATAATAACACATCATTTTCTGGCACATTAAAATTTCCAAACTTAAAATTAATACCCATTTAAAACGAGTGTTAACTCATGGAATAGAGTACGTCTCGAATTTTGAGAAAAGTAAATGCAGATGGTTATTTTACCGTCTTCTATATATATATATATATATATATTGGAAAAGTTACGGGGCGTTACAGATTTTAGTAGAGTAGCTAGGGGCAAAAGATCTGTTTGGTTGCTGAGAAAACACAGTATAATTTTCTTGAGTTTCGTTTCTCTTTTCATTGCTGAATTGAATATCTAAGGTAGATGACAACAGAAACAAGCAAGGAGGATTTCTTCTTCGAGGCCTTCAAAGAGGAATGGTACGTCGATGTCTATCTCCTGCCAGCAGATGTCAAGAAGCCTATCCCTGCCCACAAGTTAATCTTGGTATATGCTGCTATCATATTTTTATGTAACAAAAAATTATATGCCTAGTGTACTCTATGATATTAGCAATCTGATCTTCATTTTTATTCGATTTGATAGGCGGCTGGTTCAAAGAAGTTTAAGTCTATTTTTGATTCAAACGATTCCAGGAAGGCAAGTTACAAGGCGATCATCGCTTCTGGTCTGAAACACGACCAGTTAGAGGCATTTCTTGAATTCATGTACAAAGGCACTTTGCCGTCTGACAGGCTGAAGAAGCACGTTCGCGCGCTCTATCTTGCTTCGGATGAATATGAAGCTCCTTATCTGCAGGAGTTTTGCAGGGCCCACCTTATATCCTCCCTTGGACCGTCGAACGCTCTTGACACTGTCAAGCTCTCTAACGATTTGTGCGACAAAATTCTACAGGACGCAGCCATTGATTTTGTCTTCATGCACGGTGATGAGATTCCATTTTCGAGGTTTGAGGATTTCGTCGTGAGGAACCCTAACCTTGCCGTTGATATGTTGAAGGTTGCTTCGGCCAAAATCAGATCCTCTTAATGATTTGTTTAGTGTTTGGGCTGCTATGTCGGATTTTGTTTTAATTTCATTTTTTTTCCTGATCGGCGAAAGAATTTGATGCAAGAGATTGTTCTGATTGTCTAGTTTCTTGTCATTTTCATATTTTCGATGATATTTGTAAGCATTGTGACAAAGTCTAACGATTCGTAAGTTTTGGTGGGTTTGGGCCAAATGCGTGGCATAGGGGCCGATTTTAGTTTTAGTTGATTATGTGTTTAGACATTCTGCATTCGATGTAAAATCAGCCATTGTAAGATTATGTGCCCATAAGATCGAAAATGATATCAATGTAATTTAGTGACTCGCGTGCGTCGTCAATGATATCATTTTGGTGTTTAGGTACCACTTTTGAGGGAATGATAACCACACAAAAACTATCCAGACCGAGTCTTAAACTGGTCCGTACCCAACAAAACGCAATAGGTTCATTTTATTACAATCCCTGAACCGAACCGTAACATATCCAACATTTGGTTCGGGAACCAGAATGATCACCCTAATCTATTTTCTTGTATTGGATTTGACAGTTGAATTCGTAATTAATTCTGCAGTAACACTGACTTCATAGGAGTCAGTAAATAATTAAGATATGAGATTAAATATTAACCAAATTAATTGTCGGAAGATGGATCAGGACACGGTGCAGATGTATGTCCTACTCATGTATCTTTCCAGGTCTTCTGGAATTGTTCGCTCACGTGAAACATTTTCGTTTGTCTTCTTCCATGTGATTTTTCGTGATGGCTTTTGTTTTTATGTTTACAATTGTTTATTTATTATTGTGGGATTATATAAGCATATTTATCGGCTAGCAAAGCATTAATTTATACATGGCATATATAATTTGATATATACGTACGTACGCACGTACGTATGTATGTATTAATACAGTATTATTTTACTATGAGCACCAAGTTCCTATGAGAGTTATAAATCTATTCTTACGTGTCATTAGGTTATATATATATATATGTCTCTTGGGTCCAATACTCTACACACGCACGTGTGTTAATTTGTGGCTAAATTAGCAACTAATCTTTGGGTAAATCTTTTTTCACTTTAAATATAAAGAGTGCTGTGTAAATATGAAACGACATTTTACTTTTGCATTGCCAAAGAAATTAGCAAGGACATTTAATTATTTAATGACTAACATACAGTTGATTTCCATTTATTATATCTAACACCCGTTTCTCTTCGAGAAAATTTTAACCTACAAGATTGAAAACACAAAGAAATGGTAGTTAGAAAAAGGGTGTTTTACTTATATACGTAATTATATATCTATATATATATATAATAGAGCATATATACTTGTTTATTCAGTCCTTTGGACCGTGCTCCAATTCGAGTTCTTGATCGCTGCAGTTACTACACGTTTCACTCCTTCGGCATCCATATGATCTTGGTCGTCATTCTGCTAATTAATTTCGAAGACATAAGAACTTCTTATGAATACGAAGACACACAAACCTATACACCATGAGTGTGCTTATATTTTGTGTACACACACACACACACGTTGAATTGTTGATTCCTGTTCTATTATCTAAATATGTATGGGTTTTACCAATGAAAACATGCAAAAGTCGTTCCTTATATACACACACACACACACACACACAAAACTTTGTTGCGATATATATTATATATCCAAATTACTATTATCCAAAATGTTTTCGATCGTTTTGAAGTGTCTTGGAAACTGTATAAGGGCAACTATAGAGACTATCTTTGTTGCGATGATGTGACTCAAAACCGAGATAGATCATATAGTTCTTTATACATTATATATATCGAATACTTTTAAAACTTTATAGTTCTTGATTATATGGTAATATTATAGTGATGGAGAAGCAATATCTTACTTCTTCTCCTATGGCTTGCAAGCTGAAAGTGTCCGTACATGAAACCCTAGCTTCAAGAACATTAAGTCCCAAATCCTCAAAGGCTTCTAACACAGAGACGAGCAGACCCTGTTGGTTCTTTCCTGAGAACACATTTATAAAGAAACCCTTCTCTAGGGTTTCCACTGCAACCTACAAATTAATAAAGGTTAAGTTAGAAACTTCATCGTTAGATGTAAATTGGGTGATCGTAGTACATTTGATCGAAATAATAAACTAGTTAATAACTACATCTATTGTTAATATTTTTTTCGTTTTTTATGAGTATGTATCATACCATGGGAAATGGACCGGTTTGCTCGCTTGAAGATTGCTCGGCCATGATGATATCTTCGTTGATATTTTCTACTTTATGCTTAAGTTCCTGAATATATTTGGATGCATCCACTATGGTCGATGTTTCATTCTCCTACAACATACATGCATACATATTAAAACATAGTTTAGTTTCAAAAATCGAATTTTCGGCCAAGTATGTGTCCACGGATTTCTTTCTCCGTATTTGGCCGGCATTGTTGATCGATATATGGATCATTCTTAGAAAAGAATTCGAGTAATCCCTAGACATAAATAAAAGAATATTTATCCAAAGAAAACAAACTTGCATAAAAACACAGAAAAATAAAGAAGACCAATACATTAAACAAAACATGTACACAGATGTTTGTAGTCTATCATCATCATCATCATCATCATCATCATCATCATCATCATCCCTAAATTCACTAATGTTCTGTCTTTTAAACATTGGTTTCCTTTAATTTGTTGGAACATAGATGATGAAAAAAATGAAGAATTTGATTCCAAGAAATCTCAAAATCAAACTAGAGATACGTAGACCGAAAGTCTGTGATGCCCACATCTTAAAAAAAGTTCCAATGATAGAGGGAGTGCTGAGAAACAATAGCACCAAACCTTTTTTTGTTGCATGAAAGACCAAACACTGATTGTGTAAAGAATTAAAGATCTAAATCAAGCAAGATTCGGAAATAAATGTGTCCATGTACTAAGTATGTGTGTGTGTATAGCTGGAGATGTACATATATAAACACACACACGCACTAAAAAAGAGGAACATCACATTCATCGGACAAAGATTTGGTGAAGAAACAAAAGGTAAAGAAAAGAGAAAAGGTCATGAGATGAAGAAAGAATTTGGTTACAGCATGAGAGTTGGTGATTGTACGAAGCAATTGAAACTTCTCATGAAGAGAGGAACCTCTCTTTTGCTCCCTTGAAATCATTCTTATGCTCTTTCTCTCCTCTATTTTCTTCTCTTTTCCTCTCCAATATTGTAGAGCAAAGTGTGTGTGTGTATATATATATGCGATGATGAGGCTCTATGTAGAGATCCGAGATTTAACGTTTATGGGATGCTCTTTCTCTCACATGACTGCCATAGTCTCTTGATCGCTACGAAATATAATATACGAACAACAGCAAAATGTATCTCGTGAACTACTCGATTGCCTCTGTGTCTTGATATACGATACTATTATATATATATATATATATAATATCCGAGTGAATATTATTTTGTTAAATAAATATATTGGAGAGAGAGGGGTGTGTGTCTTTATTAGGGGTAGGCAATATTACGCTAGGTACCCTGAACCCGACTTGAACTTATTCTAAAAATTTGGGTATGTGAATCATTCGGCTTAAATTCGGATATTAATAGAAACAGAACACTCATTTCAGTTTGAAAATTTTTAAACCTCGGATATCGTAGATATATATATTGATTTTTCATTTTTTGTCTCTAGTTTTTACGAAATTATCATTGTATTTATATTGACAACATTATCATTGTATTTATATATTATATACATGTATATATATATATATATATATATATATATATATTTGTGAACTTTGTTATTGGAGTTATTCATTTTATCTGATTTTTTGGATTCTAATAAAATTTTCAAAAATTTTTTGGATTTTATATTTTCGGATTCAAATAAAATTTTCAAAAAAAAAATCGATTTCAATTCATTTGTCCTAAAATTTTCGGGTATCCATGTTTAGCTTTTATTTGTATTAAAATGTTATTCCATTCGTTTCTAAATAATAGTCGTTTTAGAGTTTTTTACACTTTTTTAAAAATTATAAAAAAATTCTTATACATCCTTATTTAATATAGGTTTAATGATAAAAATTATGTTATTGTTAAAAGTTTATTGGAATTGTGATACTTTTAATTAAGAGTAAATTAGGAATTATTTTAAAAAATTATCTAGAAAATGTAGAATGACAATCTATTTAAAAACATAAATAATTATCTAAAACGTCAATATATTAAGAGCCGGAGGGATTATCTCCTTATCTTCCAAACTAATGTGAATGTGTAATTTATGCAATTGATGACTGATTCATTTTATGGACCCTGCATTTTTCATTACAAGAACTTTAAACAGTGTGTAAATATATTCGTAACAGTGTGTGTATTATTTATAATGCACGTAACCTTTCCTAGATGGGTATAACACGTCCTAATTGATGGATGGTTTGCTTATTATACTTGCTGATCTATGACTGAAACATGCATGTACCGGCCAAACAAAGGTTTTATTTGGCAACTTTTTTTTGTTATAACCCAACTTGCAATAATTCAATCGGTGAAAAGAGATGAAAGTGTTTGTTTCGTCCCAGATTCGAAACTTAGGTTTTGGAGAGAATGTATAATCCAAATCATATGGATGATTCTCGTCCCCTGAATTAGTCTGATTTTTTGTCCAATATATCCGATCATAACAAAATTCGTTATAAAAAAATTATCTGATCATCTCATTGAATAATTTCCGGTGCATGCGTATATACATATATGTGACATGCTAAATTTTCCCATAATATAATTATCATATCATTGATCAACCGTAAATGACGAGTGACAGGTGAGTGGGCAAAGAATCGAACCCACGATCTTTCAGATGAAAAAGGAAATCCTTACCAACTCAGTTGGGGTTTTCCTATATATATATATTATGGATAAAATCTCACATCAACTTGTTTTCACTTTTGCAATAGTTTTATTTTGACCCAATTGTATTAAAACTTTACATATGATTTGAAGTAAGAAGAAGGGGCAGAAGTTAAAAAGAGAAAAATGAATCATGAGCTTGTGATGGCAAAAGATGGGAACTAGCAATGATGAAATTAGAGAGAGGATAACCATTTTTTAGGAAAGGAATGTCAAAAAAAAAAGAAAAAACTCTCCCAGGGGACCCCCACTGGGTCCTCGACAACCCAGAACCCACCTCCATCTCCAGTGACCTCTGCAACCCCGGTCGACAATCTCCCCACTCCACTTTCATCGCATCGCATCGTCCAGGATAGAGCCTGGACGGAATTGGGAAGAATCTGGGTGTTATGGGATCCATAAATTTCTGTAGTGGTATACGCGTCCACAGACCAGATGATGACTTGTGGCGTCTTTAATCCAGTGACTGGTCGGTATGCGACTATTTCTTTTGTCTATGCAAAAAACACTTCGGGAGAGAGGTTTCGGCTTTGGACGGAAATCTCCGACCTCGCAACAAATGGTCTCCTATCATCTAGACCATGGTTGTTGGTGGGAGATTTCAACCAGATCCTTAAGCCTAACGAACACGCCTCCACAATAATGTCGTTCTCACCGACCTCAGGAATGTCGGACTTTCAAGACTGTTTGTACTCCAACGGTCTATTCGACCTCACAACAAGGGGACATTTCTACACTTGGACGAAAAATCCCATAGCCCGAAAACTTGACCGGGCACTGGTTAATGCAAGTTGGATGTTCACTTTTTCGGAGTCCTATGCCCGATTTGATGCTCCAACTCCTTCTGATCATTGTCCCTGCTTAGTGGAAATGGAGCCTGCAGATAATAGGAGACGCAGAACATGTTTCAAGTACCTGAAACACCTAGCCCGACACTCGGATTTCCTGGATATTGTTCGAAATGGGTGGACTAGTCAATCCCCTGCAGGCGCGACAATGTTCCGAATCTCATGCAAGCTACGTTCTCTCAAGCCTCTACTCCGAAGCCTTAACCGTGAAGCTTACAGTGGGATTCAAACTCGGGTCAAAGTGGCACTTCAAGCCCTAACAGAAGCACAAGCTAGGCTGTTGGAAAACCCAACTGTCAACACGGCACAACATGAATCAAGTCTGAGATCTACCTGGTCTAGATTTGCAGCTGCCGAGGAGACCTTTCTGCGTCAAAAGTCGAGAATAAAGTGGCTGAAAGAGGGAGACCAAAATACAAAATTTTTCCACTCAGTTGTTGTCTCAAGGCAAGCGACTAACAAAATTCGATTCCTCTTGAATGATACAGATGACAGAACATACAAAGTGGAGGAAATGAAAGATATTGTGGTGAACTACTTCCAAAATCTGCTGGGAACTTCGGACTCGAGCCTGGTCAGCTGGCCGGACTCTGAGCTCGGCGAACTCAATGATTTTCGGTGCTCAACGTCCCTTGCTTCCACTCTCTTGGTTGTTCCGACTGAAGAGGAGATAACGGCAGAAGTCTTTGCAATGCCGAAAGATAAAGCGCCAGGACCATACGGTTTCCCGGTTGAATTCTTTATCGACTGTTGGGGCATAGTTGGAAGTGACTTAATTGCTGCAGTGCGGGAGTTCTTTAATTCAGGTAGGTTACTGAAACAATGGAATGCTACTCTAATTGCCCTCAATCCCAAGACCAAGAATGTTGTGCATATGAAGGATTTTCGTCCGATATCGTGTTGCAACACCGTTTATAAATTGATATCCAGGCTGCTTGCAAAGAGGCTGAAAGTATTACTATCCGAAGCTATATTGCCGAATCAAAGCGCCTTTCTCCCAGGCCGCACACTACTAGAGAATGTTCTTCTTGCTACAGAATTAATTGCTGGATTTAGTTCACGCGGTAGGCCAAAGAATGCATCAATCAAGGTTGACTTGTCGAAGGCCTGTTGGGTTTCCTGGGATCTCATGAGCGAATCTAATTCCTAAGAGATCGATTCTAGGGTTTGCGCAGCGGATGTAAAACAAAAATTTTGATGAAACCCTAGAACCTATCATGCATGATCTTGTAGAAACGTTAGAACGCTTACCTCAATCGATCCGGGGCCTGTATCAATTGATCTATTCGTCCGATCACTGTAGGCAGGAAAAATACCTTGCCCTCTACACGTATCCACACGACGGAAAGGATTCCAACTGTTGGAACTTGTCTGCTAGGACTGAAGAACGCTTTCTTCTTTGCGCAAAGGATTCAGGGATCTTTCTCATAGGTTTTTCACTCTCCAAACCTCTCCCTAGGGTCTGAAAATCGTACCCTAAGCCTTAGGAGGAGTTCCCCTAAGTTTTTCCCACTTAAAACCCTAATTAGAGCGAGTTTAGGAAATCCCGACGTCTGGACCGATCGGTCTGGAGCCTATTTTACGTCTGGACTGATCGGTCCATATATGGACCGATCGGTCTGAAGCAACTTCCGGACCGAGTGACTTTCACACGTTACCTCTGGACCGACCGGTCTACGTGTCTAGACCGATCGGTCCAAACCTTCTGGACCGGTCGGTCTGGCCTCCGCTCCACCGGGATTTTCTTGTCTCTTCTCGCGCATTCGTCCTTTCATGTGTGTGTGACCCTGTAGGCTCATCCGATATAACAGTATAACACGAAATCTCTTATTTCGGTTACACAAGTCATAGGCGGTCTCTAGCAAGACACTATGACTACCTATCTCGAATAGAGTTTGTTCGTGATCCTACGAACGCCAGTGATGATTCCGTTTGATGATCCTTTTGTATCACGATATCATATGTCGAATATAAGGCATAGACAAGCCACCTTATCTGATTCGAACTTGTCTGCTAGGACTGAAGAACACGTTCTTCTTTGCGCAAAGGTTTCAGGGATCTTTCTCTTAGGTTTTTCACTCTCCAAACCTCTCCCTAGGGTCTGAAAATCGTACCCTAAGCCTTAGGAGGAGTTCCCCTAAGTTTTTCCCACTTAAAACCCTAATTAGAGCGAGTTTAGGAAATCCCGACGTCTGGACCGATCGGTCTGGAGCCTATTTTACGTCTGGACTGATCGGTCCATATATGGACCGATCGGTCTGAAGCAACTTCCGGACCGAGTGACTTTCACACGTTACCTCTGGACCGACCGGTCTACGTGTCTAGACCGATCGGTCCAAACCTTCTGGACCGGTCGGTCTGGCCTCCGCTCCACCGGGATTTTCTTGTCTCTTCTCGCGCATTCGTCCTTTCATGTGTGTGTGACCCTGTAGGCTCATCCGATATAACAGTATAACACGAAATCTCTTATTTCGGTTACACAAGTCATAGGCGGTCTCTAGCAAGAAACTATGACTCATTCACTCGAATAGAGTTTATTCGTGATCCTACGAACGTCAGTGATGATTCCGTTTGATGATCCTTTTGTATCACGATATCATATGTCGAATATAAGGCATGGACAAGCCACCTTATCTGATTCGACTGCTTTCTCGTTCACTGAGTTCGACTGTCTGAAATAGACGACGTTCGTCTATAGTGCGGCCACACATTTCTACAGTCTCGCTCATACGAGGGGTCCAGCGATATCTCTCTCTTTTACGAGAGGTACAAATCCCGTCTTGACTATCTACAATCCAGCACATGATTCGTTTCATACCTGATACATGCCTTTATAGTCCTCCTGTTACGTAGGACGTTTGACGTAATCAAAGTACGCAACTCCTCATGTTGGATTCCGTAGATATCTTTGGTCTTAGGATCCAATCATGGAACCGTCATATGAGATTCAAGTCATGACGCTAGTCCATGTGACAATCTCATGCGGGTCAATCCAGTATTCCGTTCTCCAACGAATACCTATGATTGTGATCGTATCCAATACCTATGATCATCTATATGATCATCAATCACACATCATACTAGTCTTATTATGTCGTTATTCCCATAACGACACAAGACTAAGGAGTTAAGTATCATTCATAATGATACATGGATTTCATAACACATCTAGTATGCACGAACATGTAATGAATCAAATACTCTCATAAAACCATAGAAAGTATAAATACATCAAATGTATCTAAATAAAGCTCATAAACAATACATCATAGAGCACTAAACCAACAAGGCCTTCGATTCAGTTCATTGGGGGTTCATTACACAGATACTACGGATCCTCCAAGTTTCGCCGGTGTTCATAAACTGGATTAACAAATGTATCACAACTCCAGCCTTCTCGGTATCTTTCAATGGAGAACTCACTCGGTTTTTTCAGGGGAAGAAAGGATTACGACAAGGTGACCCGATCTCCCCTTATTTGTTTGTCTTGGTCATGGACTTCCTCTCTCGTATGCTGAACAAGGAGGTTTCTAGAGGCAATATTGGATTACCGTCGAAATGTAGAAACCCTATGGTCTCTCATCTATCATTCGCATATGATATTTTAGTATTTGCGGATCCCTCATTCAACTCCCTCTCGGGAATACTGAACACGCTTGAAGTATTTCACAAAGTCTCGGGTTTGAAGGTCAACAAGGCGAAAACCTCGTTGTTTTTGGATGGTGATGACCAGACACATACAGATTTGATGGCCGAAAGATTAGGTATATCAGCGGCAAGGCTCCCGGTCAGATACTTAGGCCTTCCCCTTTCTGCTACCAGATTCCGTGAAAGGGACTGCGCCCCACTAAAGGATACCATCCGAGCAAGACTTTGTTCGTGGATGGCAAAACATCTATCTTTCGCTGGCCGTCTTCAGCTCATAAAGTCAGTCATATATAGCATCATCAATTTTTGGGCAGCAACATTCATCATGCCTACAACTTGCCTGAAGGATATCGAGAGGATGTGCGCAGCGTTCTTGTGGTCAGGGGCTCCGGATTCAGCCAGAGGAGCTAAAGTTTCTTGGACAGTGGTATGCAGCCCGAAAGTTAACGGGGGACTAGGACTGTGTAAGCTGGCGGAATGGAACAAAACGCTCTGTCTCAAACTAATATGGATTTTATTCACTGAGGCGAGATCTCTGTGGGTTTCTTGGGTGCAACAAAACCTAGTCAGAGGGAAAAATTTTTGGGCACTAAAGGACAGAGGTAAGGGGAGTTGGCAGTGGCATAAGCTTCTTAAATTACGCCCAATAGCTCAGTCACTTATGAAATGCAAAGTCGGAAATGGAGAAAAATGCAGTTTCTGGTATGATTCTTGGCTCCCGATGGGACCTCTTATCTTGATTACAGGTCCTATAGGCCCCCGACTTCTGGGGGTTCCGTTACAAGCTTCGGTGGCCGACGTGAGTAGGGCAGGGGGCTGGCAGCTATTTGCTGCACGCTCCAATGCGACCATCGCCATCCACCAAGCACTGCTGAGCCACACGCATCCCAGCTTCTCCAATCATGCTGACCAATATTACTGGTCTGAAACGTGCTCCGAGGTTGCTGCCCCAGCATTTTCGACAAAAAAAGACACGGTCCTTCCTTTGTCCACCACCGCCGGCAGTTCCCTAGAAAAATTCAGTCTGGTTCCCGCGTTCGATTCCCAAACACGCTTTTATCACTTGGCTGGTAGTTAGGAATCGGCTTCCGACCCGTGACAGAATGGTGCAATGGGGCTTGAACACACCCACATCATGTGTTCTCTGCGATATGGAAGCTGAATCGGTAAATCACTTATTCTTTAAATGCTCATATTCTGCTCAACTATGGCCCTCTCTGTTGGCGGATTCTACTCTAGCTCTGCCAATAATTGATTCCTTCAATGAATGCCTACTATGGTTGTCCAACTTAAACACTCATCGCCTGCTCAAGTTTATGGTGATACTCTTATTCCAAGCGGCTATATACATGCTATGGGGTGAAAGGAATTGCAGGATCCACCGCTCGGTGTCACGTCCGGTGGAGGTGCTGCGTAAGGAGATCCTCCAATCCACCAGGCGCAAGATCTCGGCTGATCGTGACGTGCTGACTGCTCCAAATCCGGGTTTCTCTCCTATGGCTCTCTGGTTTCAATTATTTGACAGGCTGTAATAGTTATTTTGGAAATGTTGTTTTTTAATTCGATTGTAACTCGAAACCGAGGAAGACAGCAGCTCTTTCTCTTCAGATATGTACTTGGGCAGTTGTACAGAAATAGAGAGAGAGAGAGAGGAATTAAAGCATTGAAAGAAGTGAAGGAGATGATAAAAGCAAAAAGAAGAATGTTGGTTGTGATTTTGGAATGCCTCCAAACACTCCTCACGGGGATCTTTATGAATACTATTCTCCATCTCCTTCCACCTCTGTATACATCACCTCCTTATCCTCTCTCTCTCTCTCTACGCTAGTGTGTATATGTGCGTATGTAATGCATACTGTATACAACAAAATAATACGTTTACATATACACATACACACATACACAAATGTAGACTCGTGCCTTTCGAACACATCCAAGTATATGTTTAGAACTTCACGTGAGAACCGAAATATTTTTACCAAAGTTTTATGAGAACCGTGCATCTCCAACTTCTACATGGAAAAAGACCTAAAATTACGCCTATACACTTCTTCTTCTTCTTCTTCTTCTTCTTCTTCTTCTTCTTCTTCTTCTTCTTCTTCTTCTTCTTCTTCTTCTTCCACCTCCTCCTCTACAAGAAAACAAGTAAGGTGTATACACATAAAAATCAACACACATGTACATGAATAGAGAATAATCGTATAAATGTATATATATGTGAGTGGAAGAATGGATCGTTTGGCGTCAAGGAAACGTACGTGCCCACCAATTCACACGTGTGCCGACTAGTCATCACAACCCTCTATGCCTCATAGACATCCTGATATGCATATACTCTCTGTCCTCTTTCACACATTTATATCTCGTTCTTACACTTAAATCATCAACTCATTAAAACGGTTCAAAAGCTAAAAGAAGAAACTAGGGTTTCCTGGTATTCGGTAGAAACTTTATGCATCTTCGACGAGATAGGACGACCGTCAACATCATGAATGAAATCGTATACTATTCGTGTCAGAGATATTTTAGTGCCGATGATGAAAAACCCATGCAAGATCACGGATGTGAAGAGTATCTATCCATGACATACATTGACATCGACGTGAGAGGATGTATATATACTTTGGATAGTATCTCCATCCACTTTCATTTAAAAAGTGAGATATACATATTCTATACACGCAAACATGTATATGCGTGGCTTGTGTATATATATGTTTTTTCTTCAAAAGACAAAAGTAAAATCTACTGTAAATATCAAAGAAGATCAATTGAACTGTTTGATTCGAGAATTTTCAATATTCATATGGATCTCAATTTAATCCTCTGTCCATTGAGTGTGACCGGATACATTTTTTTTTATTTTTTATTTTATAAAACTATGATTATATACTCCGGAAATTAATAAAAAAATAAAAAAATAAAATGAGAAACGAACAAAGTTAACAGATAAGCAATTATTTTTTGGCGTCTTATCAGACATATGCCTTGAAATAAGCTTTTTACTTGTCATAGTTTTGCCGTGTGTGTATATATATATATATATATGTTTTGGTTGATTGTGACGTACAAAAATTTTATTATTATTTAACCCAAATAATCAAAGATGCTTTTAAGAGACATGAAATTTCGAAACTGTCCGACAATAGTAAATATCTTTTGTTAGTCAATTATTTTCGAGTAATATTTTATATGATTTATTGGTCGACAAAAGTAGGAATATTTATTTCCTAGGGTATATTATTGTTTTTATTCACGTTGTTTGATAATGCGGAAAAACGAGTCCTGCGAGATTCCTTTTAGAAAAATAATGTGACGTGGAACTACAAAAATAATGGACACGTAATCGAATCATGCATCATATTAATTGGGAGATTTTGTCTCAAATTTATGGCTGTTATTTGCTGGCGTCTACGCGTTTTTCTGTCCACTTTTATTTGTACATCGTATCAAATCATTAAATCACAATAATGTAACGCCAAAAGCTTATTGATCTTTATATATATAGAGTTTAACCCCTTTAATAAAACCTGCGTAAAAAATGGATCTCCCAATTATTAGTAGGATTAAATGTTATCGATTTCAATTATTTTAAGTTAAGTTATTTTTGTTCGTTTTTATAAAAAATTTAAAATTTTACTGTATTTTTTATTTAGTATATGTTTTATTCGGATTTAGTTTTATTAAAAAATCATTTTTAAAAAAGTTTGAAGTTCCAATATTTTTTATATTGTTTCAAGTTCAATTTAGATTTATTAATTTAATTTTATAAAAACCATATTTATCTTCTATATTAGGTTCAAAGTAACATTAAATTCTGTATATTATTATCTAAATTTCTACCTCTACCAATTACTATAGTTATGTAGACGCTCAGGCAGCTCAGATGGGCAAATTCAAAAGCTTTAAACCAGGCAACCTTCGGAACATGGAAAATTTAGACAATTATATTCATTTTTTGTTCAAATATTTCAGAAACGGAATTATATATAAATCTTACTAATTTTTTTTAAATGTGAATAAGTATCATGATTTCCGCCCACGCACCGATGGAAAACACGACACACGTATTTAATGTCTATAAATTAATCGTATGACGTAGGGAGATTTAATTTGATAGACTGAGTGAGTTATCTTATGATGATAATGCGAGAGTTCATACATGATGATCTAGTGACTTGCTCGGCCAAGACTCACGTGAATTTCACTTCGGGAAAGGACATTCACATGCACATTTGACGATTAAAATAAAAACAAATTTCTATTAATCTCTAAAGTTGATAAGTGCTTTTGTTGTCAATTGAAGGGAGTGAGAAACAGACATGAGAGAGAGAGAGAGAGAGAGAGAGAGAGAGATAGATTCGTCTTGGCAACTAATGCTCGTATACGGACATTGACACACAAACATATGGATAGCTATATATCAACGTATCGTACAAAACTCGAAAAAGAACTTATATTATATGTAACTAAATATTGATGACACAAATCGTAAATTTGTGCCGATCCTTCGGTAAAGCTTGTACGTGTCTAATTATACCTTTTGTTTCATCGTATGCTTTTTTTTAATTCTATTCCCATTGGTTGGGATCTCTTTCACATTCTGGTCGGTAGTTTTAGTTAATCAACCAAAACGCATTCTTTTTATAACAAAGTAAATAAATAAATCAAATCTCTAACTCTATTTTTTTTATAAGATCTCTACCTCTATTAATTACATTAATTCTATAACTCGACCCTTTTAATTTTACAAACTAAATTCCTTAAATGTTGCTAAACCCTAATCATTCTAAACTCTATCAGCCACCTTAATTCTCTAAAGTCTTATATAACTTCATTGATTACCGTTCAAGCTCTCTTAAGGTTTGTATTATTAAAGCAACTAAAATGATATATATATATATATATATACATATATATATATATATATATATGTGTGTGTGTATGTGTATGTATGTAACCAGACAATTGTAAACGTAAAGAGTCCCGTGTTTGCGACAGCTATATCTCTTTTGTCTTCTCCTCGGCTGAATTGTGTTCCATTTTTTCCGAATAGATAATTTTATAGTATCATTTTACCGTCAGAGCTTTACAAGCATAAATAATCATATGATTCATGACTCCGAAACTATATAATCAATGAAAATCCAGCATGGATCCACGTGTAAATTATCCATTGGTCCTTTCTCCTATGCATTAGGAAAATGATTCATGTGGTAAATAACTCACGTACGATGACGCCATTTTAATGAGCTACCTTAACCAAAATCCAAGCCTATATGCTTTCTTTTTTTAAACTGAATTATAATGATATACATCCTAAATAAACCAAAAGTACAACACATATATGATAATTTACCATATTTGAATTACAGTGAAAATAACAATGTCTAATAAGAGAAGCTTCTCCCTCCTCTCTCTAACTTTACCAAAATCTAAAATCTGCAAATCCCTAAATTTCACCGGAAATTCCACTCCTCCACGCCGGCCGGCCCACTGCCGGCCGGAACCAAACACTGGTCAGCCCACTGCTGGTCAGGAGAAATCCTTCAACCGCATGTTCCCTCTTCGCTACCCCATGGCTCCGCGACTGCGATCTTCTTCAGCCCCGCCATCCCCCGGGATTCTTGGCGCTCCGTCGCAGATCCAGCGTCGGTGCTCGTCCACCCCACCCCCTCCTGTCTCTCTGTCCCCCTCCTCGTTACAGCAAGCTCAGACGAGCTTAGCTGGTAAATCAACATGGATTTCGAATGGAGCACAGGTCACAGACTCGGAACATCACCCGAGCCAGATCCAACAGCCTCTCCCACCTCTTACTACATGTTCAACAGGGACTCCCTCCTCGGCAGCGACTGTATCTCCGATCGTTTCTAAGCCAACAGCGGCAAACGGGAAATGGCAAACAGACGCGAACCAGGGGGCCTCAACTTGGAGCAAACGTCTGTTCCCGGACAAGCGATACCTGAAATGGCTAGGGAACCCTGGGCTTCACGCAACAGGTGTTCCGTTAATCACTATACCTGAGGAATCCATTACACAAGCAATTGAGGAGTGGAAAGATTTTCTAATCGGCCAATTCTATGGATTGCCACCCCCGATGGGGCGCGTTATTGGCGTAGCCAACGCATTATGGTCCAGAAATGGCAATCGGATTCGAGTGCAAAACATCGGAAATGGGACGTTTCTCTTCAAAGTTCCAAATGAAACCACCCGACAATACATTCTCTCCCGTAAGTTATGGCATATCGGGCAATGCCCGATGTTCATCAGTAACTGGAGCCCCGACCATAGCCCGGATAAGCCACCAATGCTCTCGATATCAACATGGGTTACACTTCGCGACGTCCCTCCGAAGTTGTACAATTCTAATAGCATCAGCCGGATTGCCACAGGCATTGGGAATCCCTTGTATCTTGATCGTGCAACAGCGGAAAAGGAGAATGTTGATCTGGCAAGAGTGTATGTTGATGTTCAGCTGAGATATCCTCTCCCGAACCGACTCGCGATAAATCTGCCAGACGGGAACGAACACACGGTGAGTGTCTCATACGATTGGTTGCCACCAAAATGTAGTTCTTGTGCAGAAATTGGGCACAATGCTAAGCACTGCCCAAAAAGCATAGCCTCCCAAGCTCCCGGGTTGCGTCCAAAAGAGCCCGTAGCGTGGATAGTTAAACCTGATCTAGCCCCGACCACTTCCCCAAAAGATGCGGTCCAACCTCCACAAGATCTAGATCTATCAACGAGCAGCAACCCAATACCTCAAAGGAATGAGCTTAAGGACCCCCTGCAACAAGTAACGCCCCCAGTTGGGAAGATAAGCTCGAAAGGGAAAGCTGTGCAGGTTATGCCAGAGGCGGAAGAAATAACAAATAGTTCCAGATAACATGATTCTGAGCAGAATCTGACCAGTACTGTTGAGCAACAAGAGGGAAGTGATGACTTGAACAGCCCCGCGACAACAACGTGTAAGCGAGATATATGGCCAACGCTAGGTATTGTCGCTACTACAGGCAAAGGAAAAGGAAAAGCGAAAAGGCATGGCCGAAAGACCATGAAGAACTAGTAACCCAGCTTCAAACCCATGTTGTTTGTGTGGAACATAAGAGGACTTAATGGCCGACACAAACCGATTTTTGTCCGTAAATGGATTTTGGAAAACAAGTTTAGATTAGGAGGATTGATTGAGACACACATCCAAGAGGCAAACAGCAACAGAATTGAGGCTGCGATTCCACCGACTTGGAGAGCTTTTTGTAACTATAGAGATGATGGTTCGGGAAGGATATGGCTAGTTTGGGATCCGACATTGATAGTGACAGTCTACAACACTACCAAGCAGACTATCACCTTCGGAGTTGTCTTCCCTGAGCGCAACACATCATTCACGACCACCTTAGTATACGCGTCAAACCAAATGCAAGATCGAAGACACCTTTGGGCTGAGATAACTGCGCTGGCGGAATATCAACCGGTTAAGTTATCGCCTTGGACCATTCTAGGCGACTTTAATCAAATCTTGCACCCGATGGAAAGATCTGACTACCCTATGAATTCTGTCATGGGGCAAGGAATGGAGGATTTTGAGGCATGTGTCACCGGATCTGAAGTGTTCGATATCCCTTTCAAGGGCTTTTACTTTACATGGTGTAATAAGAGCATTACGAAACCTCTCGCAGTAAAGCTTGATCGAGCATTATGCAACGAGACTTGGCAAGAGGCTTTCCCCGACGCATTTGTAGAGTTCACGGCGCCAAGACCATCGGATCATTCGCCAATCCTTTTGCACATGCCGTCGGTAATCACTAAGATACAGAGGCCTTTCAAATACTTCCATCACATTAGCCTTCACCCGGATTTCTTGCAGGCTATTCGTGAAAAGTGGGAGTCCCTGGCATGGGAGGGCTCGATGCAATTCAGACTATGTAAAGCTCTCAAGGCACTAAAAGGGCCATTGCGTAGTCTGAACGCGAAAAACTTTAGTGGCATTTCAGAGAGGGTAGCGCATATCACGCAGAAGCTGAAACTTGCACAACAGAACCTTTTCTCGGACCCATCTTCTGCCCGTGTTGCGGAGGAGCGGGAACTTAGAGAAAAATGGGTCATGCTTATCGCGGCGGAGGAGGCATTCTATAGAAAAAAATCCAGGGTGAATTGGCTAGCAATGGGAGATAGGAACACGAGATATTTCCACAAGGTTGTCAAGGGAAGAACACTTAGGAATCACATTTATTTTTTGGAGGATGATGCAGGAAACAAATTGCAATCCGTCGCAGAGATCAAGTATCATGCAGTAGAATATTTTACCAATCTGATTGGCAGACGTGACATGTCCACAGAACCACCATCTATTGAATTACTGAAGGAGCTCTTCACTTTCACATGCCCCGAAGAAGTTGTCACCGAATTAACCAGAGTTCCAACTACAGAGGAGATCAGGTTGTGTTTATTCGGGATGGCCAACAACAAGGCACCGGGTCCGGACGGATTCTCAAAAGAATTCTTCGTCTCTACTTGGGAAACTACCGGTAATGCAATAATAAATGCGGTGCAAGAATTTTTTACTACCGGGAAGTTGTTGGGGCAATTGAATGCGACAATAATTACGCTAGTGCCTAAGAAGCCAGGAGCAGTAGCCTTGAAGGATTTCTGACCTATAAAATGCTGCAACACCATCTACAAGCTCATCTCTATTTTGCTAGCCAAGAAACTCATGTTGGTTTTAAAGGATATAATATCGCCAAACCAAGGTGCATTTCTAAAGGGGAGGCTAATGCTAGAAAACATATTATTGGCGACGGAGTTGGTGCGTGATTATAACAAGCCTAGTGCAACTAAGCGAGCAATGTTGAAACTTGACCTGCGAAAAGCCTTTGACTCAGTGTGTTGGGAGTTAGTCACACGAGTTCTTCGAGCTTTAGACCTGCCCGACATTTTTGTGAAATGGATAACAACTTGCATGGGAACCTCGAAATTTTCTGTGGCTATCAACGGGGAACTAGCGGGTTACTTCAAGGGGAGGCGAGACCTTCGACAAGGGGATCCTATCTCTCCTTATCTTTTTATCCTAACCATGGAAATCCTCACTCGTATGTTGAACCGAGGAGCCCAGAACCAGACCTTTCAGGTACATCCCAAATGTCACACTCCCATTATAACGCATCTAACGTTTGCGGATGATGTGATGATTTTTACAAAGGGGGATTCTCATTCTTTGCTACAAGTTAAGGGAATCTTGGACCTTTTTAGTAAATATTCAGGGCTTCATCTAAACATGGCAAAAATAGAGATTTTCATGGGAGGGATGAACGCACAAGAAGCCGATGATATAAGCATGGTGACGGGATTCCAAGTCGGCTCTCTCCCTGTCAGATACTTGGGCGTCCCCCTCAGCCACACGAGACTCACGAAGGCGGATTACCAGCCACTACTAGAGAAAATTAAGGCTAAGCTCACTTCTTGGACCACTAAACACTTGTCTTATGCAGGTAGAGTCCAACTAGTTAGCTCGGTTATATACGGCTTGATCAATGCTTGGGGAATGGTCTTTCTATTGCCAAAATTCTTCACAAAGCAAGTTGACAGTCTCTGTTCGAACTTTCTGTGGTCGGGCTCTACCTCTGGCTCGGGAAGCCGCCGAGTATCATGGACAAACATTTGTAAACCTCAGAAGGAGGGAAGGATAGGGCTCCGCAGCATTGCTGATTATAACACCACATTTCGGCTAAAGCTAATCTGGATACTTTTCTCCAAAGCGGGTTCATTGTGGGTTGCTTGGACATATAACAATCTGTTTAAAGCCAAGGGATAATACGATACCTTCTCCTCGGTTCTCTTGGAATCTGCGTAAATTACTGGATTTGAAGGAGACAGCCCAACAATTCCTCAGGATTAGACTTGGCAATAGTGAACGCACTCTTTTCTGGCATGACCCATGGACAACATTAGGACCGCTGATAAAATACATCGGGAAAACGGGGCCGAGAAATTTTTCGTATTCCGACCTTAGCCACAATCAGAAGTGCAGTAAATGGAGACAATTGGACATTATAAAATGCTATATCGGATAGTCAACAAGCCTTCCTCACCCTTCTCTCCACCATCCCACCGCCGTCAGCCACTGCAAATCATGATCAGCCCCTATGGAAATATCGAGATGATGACTACAGGCCAACCTTCTGCACGAGCAGAACGTGGCATCAAATCCACCAGCGTGGCGAGGAGGTTCCTTGGCACTCCATTGTTTGGTTCCCTAAAGGTATACCCTAGATATGCTTTTTTGATGTGGCAGGTGATGTTGTCCAGATTACCGACCAAAGACCGACTTCATCGGTGGGGCGTGACCTCGGAGACAACGTGTATGTTATGCGACGAGCTAGAGGAGACACACCTGCATTTGTTCTTTGAATGTAGGTATAGCAGACAAGTATGGAGGCACTTTGCGGGTCTATGCAGTCAGGATCCTCCATCAAACATCTACCAATGCACGGATTGGGCGAGCAACGAAACGCTGATCGACGGAAGAGACACAAAACGGATCCGACAAATCCTCCTCCAAACTACGGTGTACGAACTTTGGAAAGAGCGGAACAATAGGATTTTCCGAACAAAATGCCGAAAAATTGAACATACGAGGTGGAAGATCGATCGAACCATTCGGAATGTACTACTAGCTATCAAACGGAACCCTCCACATGATAGAGTATCTTTGCTTGCAAATTGGTATTATTTGACGCGAGACGTTAGAAATTAGATCATGATAGTTTTTTTAAGACATATTACCATTTTCACATGGGTTTCACTATCTTTTGTCAAAAACAGAAGGTGGGTTGTAATTTTTTGGATATAATACAAATCACCTCGAAAACAAAAAAAAAACAATATCTAATAAATGATAATAAAAATAAAATTTATGTCACTCTCTTCATTGTTTGGGGATGAGTTATTTAATTAAACTCCAAGATTTGCATGGACCATTACAGATTCGAATTCGCAAGGGACCAAAAGGACAAAATGATATTGCACCTATCTTATAAGAATGTGCAAAAGAAAAAATGTTGTAGTAAGGGCTTAGCGCTCATTCTACCCCACTCACGAAGATGACAAAAAGAATCAAAGAAAATTAGGTCACGGGCCGGTTTTTGCTATCAAACACAAAAAAAAAATTTCGATTCCGACGTTCCAACAAAATAAACAAATCTAATAATGCATATCCTCATATATATATATATATATATGTGTGTGTGTATATATATTATCGTAGTAATAAGAAAAAAGTAAGTGTAAATTGCAACCCAAAATAAGAAATGCATGGCAACCTAGAGTCAAGTCTATGATGGGGTAGCGAATAAGGCCCAAAGGCTTCATGAATATGCTCCTTAGGCCCATTAAAGTCCAATAGTCTCAGAAGCAAAACAAATAAAACCGACTGCAAGACATTTTGAAGAGACGCTTTAGCACTGCATGTTGTTTTGAGCTCTCTCCCAAAACGCTGCGTTTCAGTCTTCTCTCATGTCGTTTCTCTGCTTCGCCGAGGGAGGGAGAGAGAGATGGCATGGAGGACGAACGTAAGCACTCATAAGCGGATTTCTACGAGAAAACCACCAGAGGACGCTCTCTCCGGCGGAAATCTCTCCCATGCTCCGACGATGGAGATCTTTCACGTGGACAAATCCCGAGGTTTTTGCTTCTCTTGTCTCCGTTTAGCCTCAGTTTCTGGGTTCTCTCTGTTTTGTGGGTTTAGATCTCACAATTGATTTGTTGATTCGAATCGATTTGTCGTATCTTGGGTCCGTAGAAATTCAACCTTTGTCTCGGTAACGTAGGAAATCCCTCCTTGCTATTTTGGTATCTATAGCATGTTGAGCTCTAGGGTTATGAGCATTCTCACTGTTGCCCCTTTCAGGGCCATGCATGAACATCATGTATCTAAATTTGGCAAATTCTAACACCCCTTTTGGTTACAGATGAAGCTTCTGTCTGTTATCAATCCGACCTCTGTTCCACAGAAGATTCAGACATGGCGGCAACCTATAAGTCAATTACACTGAAGAGGTTGGAAAATTGAAGAAAAAATGTTTTTTTTTCTATTGCCAATCATATACCTATCAACACACATTTCATATTACACTTTTGGCAAACCTATTTCGCAAAGATATAAATAAATTCTAAGTAATCTATCTTACGGACTCTAATGATGGAGATCAAACAATGAACTAATGAAAATTTTACTGATCATTTTGTGGTGAAGCTGTATATATCTGAGGAAATGGCAATGACGCTTGTGGCAACGGCAAGAACAAGCATTATTGCAGCAACGATCTTCTCTCTCGACGTCGACAATCCATGCACGTCCCTGCAGTTCAGAACCCAACTGATCATTAGATTCTTGCAAGAGCTTCAACCAAATCATGAGAAACACGATGTTTTTCAAATGCAGAAACAGTTCAAAGGTTGGGTTTTTCTGGTACCTTAGGACTATTGCTGCGGGAAAAATGAATGCAATGGAGACTGTGGTTGTGGATCCAATGAACTGGAAGAAGTACCATATATCAGGTATGGCTATGGCTGCCAAGAAACACGAAATCAGTAGAGCGAGGGTGAGTCCAAGGAATCTTTTCGTGTCTTTTGCCAAGGACGGCTTGTTGGGAAACAAGAGCTCGTCCAGGTTAGCCCTCAGGGAGAAGTTCAGGAGGGGAAAGACGAGAATGAGATGAAGAGCATAGCTGAGCCTGACAACGTCATTGAGGAATGAACCAATGGAGGAATCGGAGCTCTGGTCGAAGTTCACAAGAATGTCTGACATTGTGGCCTCCCCAAAGAGAAGGTATCCAAAGAGACCAGTGGCGAAGTAGATCACAGAGCACAAGACCAGAGAGATTCTAACCGGTGGAATCACGTCTAATGGGTCACTCAGCTCAAATCCGATCGGATGAACTGCACATTTTTCATCAAAACCCGAAACTCAGAAACACGAGAAAACAAGAAAACAAAGCAAAAGAGGGCGCAGAATCGAAGAAAGATGGGTTCTTGCCATTGAAATGAAACGTGAAAGCTGTTACAATAACCGGGACAGCAGTGAAGAGATTGAAGAATGATCCTCCCTCGTCCAGTTCTGGGAACAATCTTGGATTCTTCGTTTTCCCTTGCACCAGAGCTGAAATCGCCAATACGGCGCTTATGATGACGAATAACACAGCGAGCAGGACAGATATCGCAGAACTGATTGCCAGTTTCTCTACAGGTACAAATGAAAACAACGCATCAAGAATCTCACCAATACCATCAACATCTTAACAGATTCCGACATATGTTTGAACTGTTGATTCCTAAGATTCAGTTTCTGAGATTCTGGAAAGAGAATGCACATATAGAACGTACCCACGCGCCGACACAAGACCAAGGGAAGCAAGACGAAGACGAAAACGAAGAACACAGCGAAAATCCGCGTGTTCCACCAATGAGAGCCAAACCATTGTTGCAGAATCCCCAGATGTACGGATCCGCCATTTTCATTCCCCGACAGAACATCGCCTGAGGAAAAGAAACCCGACAAATCCAGCTTTCAGTTCAGAAGATCGAGATCTCTGTGACCAAAATCTCTGTCCGAGCTTAAAAAATGAGAAACAGAATCGGGTTATGGGGTTTTTGAGATATTACCTATAATAATCGAAAAAATAATCTGACACCCAAATGTAGCCCCCATCGTAGCGACCTGCACAGCGACTGAGCCCGCCTTTCCGAACGACTCCTTCATGACGCCGGCGTAAGTCGTGGCCTCGCCAGCGATGGTGAATTTCATCAGAAACCCTACGGATACATTCGCGAGAAATGCTATGATCGCGATCATCAACAGAGCCGGGATTACTCCGAGGACCTTGAACGCCGCCGGCATCGACATAATTCCGGCTCCGATGATGCTCGTCGACACATTGAACACGACTCCGGCGGCGGACGAGCCGTGCTTCTCCGGCGATCTCTCCTGCTTATTCTTCGGCAAGAGAGGAGCTTGGATTGCCGGAGTCATTTTCCTCCACCGGAGATACTAAAAAAAATCCCGGCGAGAGGAAAAAAGTTTTTTTTTTTTTTTTTGCTGTCGTGTTTGCGCGTGAATAATGCGTGGGAGTCAAAACGAGGCGGCTTCATATAGCCCAGAGGTGTCCTGAATGGGTGAAGTTACGAAAGTAGCCTTGAGAAGACTTTCACCGGTGAGGGTAAAACCGGAATTTAGCTAGTTTGGCCATCGGAAAAGACAGGTTGGTCGTGAATCCATCGCCTTTCGTACATTTATCGAAACACGTCAAAATCTGTGGACATTAAATTGAAAATAAATCTCTTATATATTTATAAATTTAAATTAACAAAAAAAATCAAAAATTTTAAAATCCAGTATATAAAAAAATAGAAAATTAAAATATGTACAATCCAAGAGAAAGGGTGAATGATTTTGTCCATCATCTGTCTCTCATTAGAACGTATCTGGACGGAAAAATGGCCATAGGGGTCCCCACTTTTATATGTATAAGGAAGAAATCGTGTATATTTATTTTATCCACAACAAAAACTACGTACACTAGAAATAAACTCCTTTATTATATATATAGAGACAAAAATGTACAAAAATGTTAGACGGTGTTTTATGTGATTAAAATTACAAAAGTTAATTCAGTGGATCAAAATTCTATCTCAATCCAAATTTTAATTTAATTTAAAAATATACATTTACATAGATTTTTTTAATTTTTTAAAATATTTAGTTGGAATAAAGATTGGATAAACTGTTAGATTATCCCAACAAAAAGAATTACGAAGGGTATGTCATGTGCATGTTGGCTGTAATAATGACCGAATACGAATCTGATTCACGTGTGCTAATTGGTAACTCCAAAAGAGACGTGTTATATTGTCCATCCTTCTTGACTCAGCAGCATTAGACCACGTCTTAAAATCATATATATATATATATACACATATATATAAACATGATTGGACAAAAAAAACCATTTGAAAAGTCTTCCATTTTTATTTTTTAATTAATTTTTATAAGTAAAAAACTATCCTAAATTAAATTCTGCCAGGTCAGGCCTAACGCGTCTAATCGCGGCCTCAGGATCATCGCGTCTGCTTAATGGGCTAAAATATTTGGGCCGAGAACAAGCCCATTACAAGACGTTGAAAATCTTCCCCAACCAAAATCCACTGATATTTCGGTCCTACCGATTGTTTTTCTCTCTGTCGTCTTCACAGCGAATATTCATCGAAGCAATTCCTCCTCGGAGGAAAAGAAAAGGAAAGGAAAAGTATCTGAAGAGCGGATCGTATTTATCGTCGGTGAATCGATCATCATCGGAGGAGGAAGAGGGTGAATTCGAAGAAGGAAGGTTGGGGAAAAAATGGGGGACCATCTGGTGAGGGCGGAGGAATTCGAGAAGAAAGCAGACAAGAAGCTCAATGGCTGGGGTCTATTCGGATCTAAGTACGAGGATGCTGCCGATCTCCTCGAAAAAGCTGCTAATTCCTACAAACTCGCCAAAGCATGTAAATTCCTTCGTTTTCCTATGCCGAATTCTCTGTTGGTTTGTGTTTTTCGATGTCCATCTAATTTTTTTTTTTCTGTTCGATGCCTTGTGGATTTGTTTACTATCGGAGAAATCGATGTGATTTAGGGTTATATATGATTATTAGGTTAAAGTTCGCGTGATTTCTTAGTGATCATGTCCCAAGTTATATTTGTGATTGGTAATTGGTCGATTTTTGCATTCGAAAATTTTTGGGGCCTAAGAATCCGCTTGAATGGCTGAATTAGATTATTAGGATTTATCTACTGAAATTATAAGCTAAAAACGTGCGATTTTAAGAGATTGACATTTTTGGTGGCTGGATCATTGGGTTTCTGGCCTTCGAATAAGCTCTAGACAGGGTGCAAAATGACACTAGAAATTTCTGGAAGAAAAAATCTTATCTTTGGGGCAAGATTTAATAGATCTCTTCATTTACTGATCAGGAGAAAAGTCCCAGATTAAGTTTTATTTGGTCTGAGTAAACTTGGTTTATGTTTCTCTTGGACTGTTATTGCACGCTCTTACTATAGCTTCCTGCTAATGTATTAAATATATGATTTTTCAGGGGATAGAGCAGGAGCAACTTATGTGAAGATGGCTAACTGTCACTTAAAGGTGAAGTCTTTGGCTGCAATAACCAAGCTTTATGTTTTGGTTCATGTCTGGAACAATGTGCATAAGCATGTGATAACATTGATCTGCATCTGCAGTCAGACAGCAAACATGATGCTGCTAATGCCTATGCTGAAGCTGCCAAATGCTACAAGAAAGTAAATACAAATGGTATGTAACTCACTTGGACATTATCTTGTATTATATTGCCTGAATGCAACTCTTTATGATCTACATCTCTGTTATAGCCCTTGGTCCTTTTAGTGTCTGATTCAAAGTTGCAAGGACCCTATTGTTAGTGGTGATTATCAAATCTAGCATTTTTTTTCCTGGCATCATATTTTGCTGCATCTAAATGTATCACGTCTTGATATAAGCATGACCTTTTCTGCAGAGGCTGCATCTTGCTTAGAGCAAGCAGTTAATATATTTTGTGAGATAGGAAGGCTCAGCATGGCTGCACGATATTATAAGGTACGGCATTTTCTTTTTCTTTTTTCCTGGGCTGAAATTTGGATTATTAGCACTAAGAGCGAGATTTGTTAGGATCCTTCTTTGGCTTTTTGTGTTTCTTGTTTTTTTAATCAGTTGCTCCTCTATCCTTTGCACATGGATCCATTCGTTATCTGTTATTAAACTGTATAGTTTGTTGCAAGTTCTGCATATTTTTGTGTTATACTAAGAGGTGCATCAATTATTTGTCATTTCGGGATGTCTTTTGTTTGCAGGAAATTGCTGAGTATTATGAATCTGACCAGAACATCAACCAAGCTATTGCGTACTTTGAAAAGGCAGCTGAATTCTTTCAAAATGAAGAAGTAGCCACTTCTGCTAACCAGTGCAAATTAAAGGTGGCGCAATATGCTGCCCAGATGGAACAGTAAGAATATTTGCATTTGGCATTTGCTTTCGTATACCTTAACATTACTGACCTGCAATTTTCATCATCTGTAGAGTTTTATTTCCATTTTCTGGGAGCACGATCTGTTTCTTCAACATAAATGCATGATAGCATAAAACATGTGATGTGCAATGATTATCTTTGCTATTATAGCCGAGAACATTTCTTCACATGCTCTGTAATCTGTCTTTTCTCATCTGAGCTTGATGCCTATCAAGGTTATGCAGTTAGAAGGAGGAGAGGTTGTTAGAATTTTGATGCGATGATTGTTTGCTATATTTAATTTGGAAGTGATGGATTTGCAATATGTGCATAATGTTTGTTTCACTACTTTGCCAGATATGATAAGGCAATCCAGATTTATGAAGAGATAGGCCGCCAGTCCCTTAACAACAACTTGCTGAAGTATGGAGTTAAGGGGCATCTTCTCAACGCAGGCATATGCCATCTATGCAAAAGCGATGTTGTCTCCATTAGCAACGCTTTAGAGAAATATCAGGTTCTTGGGCATAACATTTTTTGTTTGGGAATTGAAGTGTTGTCCCAAAGGTCCTCAAAGTATCATATGAATCTAATACCGTTTTTCTCTTCAGGACCTCGATCCAACTTTTTCAGGGACTCGGGAGTGCAAGTTCTTGACGGTATACTTAGTTTGCTATCTTCGTTCATCAATATTAATTACAGTGAGAAACAATGATCTGTCAATTATCTTCTGCTAATTGGATGTGTACCAAACTATGATCAACGTACATAAATTACAAAACTTTTCCTGGCACTTCAATCAAATATATAACTTCTCACAATGGACAGAATAGGTTTGCAATATGTTAAAAATTAAAATTGTGTATTTCTTCTGCCTGTGACAGGACATTGCTTCTGCCATTGATGAGGAGGACGTCGCAAGGTTCACAGATGTTGTCAAGGAATTTGACAGCATGACTCCTCTGGTACAACTTAACTTATAGGTTATGCATATACATATACATATATATACACACACATCTCTAACGGTGTAGCGATGCATTTCAGGATTCATGGAAGACAACATTGTTACTAAGGGTGAAGGAAAAGCTGAAGGCCAAGGAGCTCGAGGAGGACGATCTTACCTGAAATATCTTATCTCTCCGGTGATTTATTTGCTTCCAAAATCATGGGTTTGGATCATGTTCTTCTGTTACTCCACATGCTTCTGACTTGTCTTTATGTTTAAAGTGTCGTCTAAAGTACTCTATATACTGCGAGATTGTGTTGTTTCTCATCTGAGTTTCAGTTCAAGAGGTTTGCTGGACATGTTTCTGTGATATCAACGTCAAGGTTTGTCCTGGTTTCATTATTCCCATCTACTGCCTTTGCCCATTGAAACTTATGAATCCTTTTAACGATATCACGAGAATATTTTTGTTAATTTAACCTGAAACTAAAGTACACATGCTTACGGCTTGGATCGGCCAAGCAAACCCGAAAATCAGGTATTTTTGTTCATTGATGGATCCAACCATCTGGAATTGGTCAGTGAAAACTAGTATGCACTGGCAGCCATTGTCGGGTTCATCTAGGGTGAGGGTTAGATTTGCGGTGAGAGGTGAGGCGAGATGTCGGAGGGCGAGCTAAGGGGAGAACCACCCTCACCACTTGCCCTCATCCCTTTCCTCGCCCTCGGCATTTGTATCTCGTAGTTCTCGCTGGCCAAATGACCCGTAGATACCTGAGTGTTTAGGGCATCACGCGGATTCCCAAAGCTCAGATAACTGAAAAGGTGGATACACAGCTATGGGTTTTGAGAACCCTGAAACCAATATCATTGACACGTGACTTGTATCCAACTCTACTTGTGGTCGTTTCTTTCACAAACCATAATTCTCACTGAGTTTCTGTCTCATCGACATCAAGTGTCCTCTCTTCGTCCATTCCTTACACCCTCATGACTTCATCGAACAACCGCCACATCCTCATCGAGTCTCTGTCGATAAGCTCTCTCTCGCGTGAGTCAATGGCGTACCCTCATCGAGTCTTTTGTCAGTCTATAAGTTTGGAGTATCTGAAATTCAGATGCAGTCAAAATCTTCCAACTCCGTTCGAAATTCTGGATCACCCATCTCCAAATGTTTGAATACTTATACCCCGTGTCCACAGCCCATCATTTATGGCGGAAGAAAGAGGCATAACAATTTTATAGAGGATCTAATTAAGCCACAAATGTACAACTAAAACATTACGATCCAGTGGATAGGGCATATACATCATTGTCGTACACTGACTTGTTCCAATCGAAGAACATAACAACGAAAATTATTTTCAGGCAGACCAAGACTGGTACATTTTCACAACGGTTTTCTTTACACAGCAGGCGAAACAGATTGTAACCATTTTGGAACCAAACAAACAGAACGGGAGGGACAAAAACTAGGGACAAGATCTACAAGTTAAAAACTCCAACGATACACCCAAAAAAAAAAAGGCGAATGGGTAATTAGAGTATATATAATGGTGACATGTGTGATCAACACAAGTTCTCGTTGTCGTCGACGATGACAAGCAAAGAGACGATGAACGCGTAATCGACCTCTGGATTGACTCTAACCCTGAAATTGTACTTGCCCTTGCAGAAGCTCCCCCATGAGAATTTATGAGTCACCTGTTAAAAGACATTCGCCATTTTTGTTTTTTCAAAAAACAATTATGTACTTTGACAAAAAAAAACAATTATGTAAAAAAAAGTATAGAAATTTTGGAAAAAAGTTTTCATGAGTAGTGTTTGTAATTACCCCGGCGATGAGAGAGTCGGATTTGAAGACCTTGAAGGAGATATTGGAGTATCCACCCGAAGCACGGAAATCGCAAACGGCCCTCTTGAGATTGTCGGGCAAGAAAACGTCGAGAGACGTCTTCAGAGTCATCGCCTGCGTTTGCCTTGCTACAAAGAGCATATCTTCTCGATCCTTGCTATCCCCTCCGTACACCTCCCATTTGTTCTTCAATGTGATTCCCTAAAAAACAACCCGACCGCCATTCTCGTGAATGCAAGAGTTTCTTGTTGTGTTTTTTTTTCTGGGTTTTAGAGGCATAGAGTGGGAAGAGAATTGTTACCTTTTGGCGCATGGTGAGGATGGTGAAACCAGCAGGATCGCGCATGACCCTTTTGCGGTTGAATCCCCAAGCCTGTCCCTCGATCTGAAGGAGGAGATTTCCGCTGAGATCAAATACTTCATAGTGATCTCTCGAGAAGTTATGAACCTTTCTCTTCACAATCAGCTCCATTGGGTATGGATTGCAGAATTGCTCGCCCACTACGCTTATCGTCGGATCTCCTACTTCCCATTCTGTCCCGTTATTCTTTGGCATCGTTATGCCGCCCTGAATTCCTCTTTCGGAAAACTCAGGGTTTCGAGAATTCGAAGAGCACACGATTATGAAGGGCCCTGCCTTTAGAGCCCTTAATAATCCTTCCTGATGCAGAATATCAATCTAAGTCACATTATCGAAAAATATTCAATGGAAACAGATTTTGCAGGGTTTGGTTTACTTTCTTTGGCAAAGAAACAGACTTTCATTCTCAACCCCAGATTGATAAACCCAAAAATAAACCAACACCCTTAAATTTAGAAGATACGACAAATCAACAAGACAACTAAGCAATTGTTGTTACTAGGTGAATACAAACGTTCTTTGTTGTCAAAAGCATCAAACACATATACTCAATATACAGTTTATACAGTTACACGTAAATCCAGCAGTTTCAGGGATCTTTCTAGAAGCCTTGAATCATAGGTTATCACTATACGCTTAAGGTCTATCAATCTTACCTATTCGAGCACCATACGCTTATCATAGGCAACAATATAATGACACACTAGACCTTTTCGCAAGCATTATTTCCTGCATAAGAAACCGAAAACACTAAGGAAGTCTATCAGATAAGAGAGACATGCATATTTTTGTGAAGTTCATCTGCTTTTGCATAGTTCTTCTTCTCGTGAACTTTTGCCCTTTTAACCGCTGCAAGAATTACTTCCTTAGGAACAGAAGATGATACAATCGGGTTTTTAAGATGCAAACCTAGAAAATATACGGACTAAGATAGAATCACAGAATTAATACTAATTCACGCACAAGGTAATGGAAAAGATACCTGGCTAACTCGAGATGGAAGTTCAGGAATATAACTCTGCTTGCTCTGAGATTATCACGGGCTGCTGTATCTGAACAGGGCATCAAAATGCTGGAAATAACTTGCAAAGAACACGACAGAGCATTCTACTGTAGAAATTGGCAACAAACCTGATAACAAGCCTAAACATTTCCTCGTATCTGGCAGGACTCGATCAGAAATGGAGGTCAAATAAAAAGGCGTTCAGAAACACTTCTTCAGTTGCTGCTGTGTATACACTACCTAAACTTTGTGTTTAGTATCAGCTATCAACTATTGCTAACAACATCATTATCGTCCCTTTCACGGGGCCACAAGAAAATGTTCGGTTTAGAAGGCCCGTGTTTTGTTTCACATGCAAAAATCTAATGCAGAGTGGACTTTTACAGTACAGTTGAAGAACCTTGCAGATGCCTTGCAAAAGGAACCTTGCTCGAAAGAAATCATTTCAGTAAGAACACAGGCTATATTCATCCAGCGTTCCGTGGATTTTCTTATTCTTGACTTCACAAGGGTTAGGAGGTACTGTTGAGCCACGACTTCAGGCCCTGGACTAGAATACACAAATATTATATATGCAATTTCAGAAACTAATCCTCAGTTCCTTAGAGGTGTTCGGATTGATCAACTTAAGACCTTTCCAATGCATGATCATGCCAGATGAATAATAATTAATTTACAGAGAGAGAGAGAGAGTAAAAGGAAACTGCTGTATCAGCCATTGGCAGTCACTGCAAATCAAGACAACTAACATGTGTGTTCTGTTTGGTGAGAAAATGGTTGCAAAAAACTTTGTATAGTAAAAGCAGGAAAAAAAAAATCAAAGGGATCTAGAAGAAACTATACTGGAAGTGATAACCATTTTTCCCAAGAAGCAGAAATACAAGCATACAACTCCGCTTTTGAAGGGTTATTTCCCCTCAATATGAAACAAAATCTTTCGGTAAACAAGTACTAGCGAGTACCTAATAGGATACGTCATTGATTCTTGAGATCATCAATACTTGTCTCTTCAGTAGAACTGCATTCCACGATAGGTTGGTTTGAAGACTCCGGCATATCATAAGAGGCTGGGATGCTTTTTCGTGCTTGCAGGCCAGTAAAGCGAGCAAGATCAATCCATTGCTGCCACAGTTTATGGAATAAAATTAATAAAATTTCAGATTTAACAAAACTATGAACTTGAGAATTTGGGCTTGGTGAAACATGAAAAATATAAAGTACACAACAAGCAAAATCCTGACCTGAGTTCCAAAATAGGAATTAATTGTCCGGGAAACAAAGGAAAGTATATTTACAAGTAGAGGTTGAGAAGAAAGCTCATCAGAGATGCGGTGCTCTATTATTCCAGCAATTATCTGCATGTAAGTTCAATTCGATGTTAGAGGCATCAATTCAAATCTTAGGTCATATCGAAGTAAAAATTATTCCTTAGCTAAGTTGAAGCAGCAAAATAGTTCACGTGGCAAAGGAAAAGAAAATGAAATGTAATCAACTGCAATCACATTCATGGATTTCTTGTATTAAAAGTAGCTGAGATTGAAGAGTCACCCAAGACCTCAACAAAGGTCAAGTTACGAGAAACTGGAGAAGAAAGTCCACGAATGCATGATAAAATTTTCCAAACCGATGGATATGTCAAGTGGCAAGCATCATTATACCTGATAACGAATATTTGCAGAAGTTCCCAGAAAGCTTCCATACACAATTGCTGTTTTCAGAATAGGAGACCTCCTAGGTTGCCGAGCAACGGCTAACTCTGGTTTGATGAACTTTCGTGCTACATACAAAGCATTTGAAGCGGCCACAGCTGCAATACTGGAAATAATTCCAACACTAGCAAGCTTCAGGCCACCAACGACAACCGAAGCAATTCTAAGATTCACTGTCCACTCTTTTCCAGCAAGACTTTTTTGAAATGCATTATCAGGTATGGATCCTAAGAGGCCTCTTAAGGCGTCTATGCTGTCAGGTCCATTTGCCTCATCAGCATATGAAAGGAAAGACAGAGTGGGAGCAGGAAGCCAAACAGTGAAAAAGTCAACCACTATTCCTCTCACTGTATCAGTAACAACATAGTCGAGTTCTTCAAAGAAATTCTCTTTCCGTTTCCCATACTGTGCTAAAAGCGTGGTTGTTATTGATATAGCCTCTTCAATAGCTAATCTATTCAAGAATTTTGGATCTGCCAACAACCTTTCCCGGAAACCCTGTATCATGGTGAACCATTATCAGTGAAGTTCCCACTAACTTATATCAAAGCTTTTATTAATTGTGGGCAGAAGACGGATACAGGAAGTAATGTACCGTGAAATAATATGAGCACTTTAGTATATAGTAAAAGCTCATTGCTTACATTTTCAAAAAAAAAAGTTCTGAAAAAGAAATGTTTCTAGAATCGATATACCTGGAAACGATGAGTAAGCTCAGAAATAACAGGAGATTGCTCCAGATCAAAGAAATTCTGCAAAACTTCAGGGGACACCAAACCAAGGTCCAATCCTTTTTGCAGGTCCTGGAAAGCATGGCAAAGACCCTCATCACGAACAAATGAATAAAAGAAATAAACATAATAACATATAAATAAATCAGTCAAAAAAGAAAAAGGATAAAAAAAATTAGGGTAAACAATATTTCAACAGAAGCAACTAATAAGAGATATATTTACCATTAAAAAAAGAAATAATAAGAGATAAAACTCGGAGCAATTTTATGAAAGAGTGAATGCCAAATACAGCGAGGAATAAGCGTGCATGTTGGTGCTAGTCATGAAAGCACTCATAAAATTTACCTGGGGAAGGGCATCTCGTCTCCTACCAGCTGCATTCATTACTCGAGCAATTTCAGCTCGGTCAAAGCAGTTCCTGCTGCAGGGTCTGGCTGCAGAATACCACAAGAAATCAGCAACTGGAGTTTCCCCCTCTCGTCGCAAGTACTGTCTCTCAGGATCAAGTAGTACAACAACTTGATTCTTCTTTGGAATCTTCCTGGAGATCCTCGCTGGCAAACCTGTCCCTCGTAATCCATACTCAACATGGCTAGCACCTGTCACCACTACCAGCAGACCAGTCCCACCTCCATCTGCAATTGCTTGTAAAATAACTTGGGACATTGTATGATCTTCAACTACTCTTGCTTGTGCCGATAAATAAGAGCTTGGTCCAAATGGAACAATCTGCGTCGGGGGATACATATCAAGCGTCGATCTACGCGAGAACGAAGCAAGTCCTGAGATAAAGCCTGAACCAGCAGGAGGAGTGTATAATTTACGTTCAGACTTTGAAAGACCACGGATACCCTCCGCTTGGACAGTTCTTAACACCTACATCACATTAAGAAGAATACGTCAGTGCTCCTTAAGAGTGAGGTAAGAATGCATAACTCTTGAACCAAGCGCATTATCCAGTTGAAGTAGCCAAACCAGATACATGCATCTAAAACATTGTCATGATTTTTTCTGATTCCCATCAACCTCAATAAGAGAGATTCCAATAGTTTACAAGGCCACCATCCTTTAGCACCTACGAAAAATCCGTAAATCCTAACGAATGTAGGACCAAAAAAGGATAATGAGATCAAGCTGAGTGACCTAAGTGATCAAGAAATGAATCATGACATGCAATTTTCAAAATAAGATCAATAGACCAAATTGTTAACAATGTGCAAAGCAATGCGTCAAGTTTCTACCTTGAGCGGAGTGCCACAAGCAATAAGCTTAACAGCGTTATCTCGGCAGTAGTTTAAAAGAGGCTCATATTCTTGCCAGCGTTGTGCTGACCAATGCGAGACATAAGACTTCAATGTCTCCGCATCCATCCTGACACCAAATTTCCGAGCTTTTGTCACCAAGGAATGCATTGAAGCACATTAATAATCACAAAACCAAAGCAACAAGCTGGAACTTATATATCAAAATGGAACTAACTAGTCCTCTTCATGTCGAAACCAAATACCACTAAGTCACTACAAGAACAAATTGGCATGATCATATACTGCAAAGTACTTCTATTAGTTTCAGAATGAAAGATTCGGAAAAATTTCCCGAGAGCAATAAAACCCTTTGTTAGTAAGGAGCTGGGGCCGAACCTCTTATCCATGTATTGATTCAGCTGGTCCTGCAAATCAAGAGGAAATGCTTCCAAAGCCAGAGAGATCTGACGCTCGTTTTCCTGGCATCGTTTCCTCAGGTTCTTGACGATTTCAAGCTCGAGCTCCTTGTCGTCTTTGGTAGGCACTTGCTCGGCCTCGCCAAGGTACACAATCCTCGCGTTCATAAGCTTTTCCCACACCTTCCTCTTGTCCTTCCCCAACGCCATCGGCTCACCGATAGCTGTCGCGTCATAGATCCTCGAGGTTATCGCCTCTTCCGGCGGCGGAGCAGTAGGAGCAGGTGGAGGAGGAGGAGCGGCTGATTCCACAGGAGAGGCAGGAGAATTCGCGGCGGCGGAAGAGCCATCTCCTGAGGCGGAGGAGTCAGGCGGCTGAAGCAACCACGAAGCGGCAGCGGCGAGGAGCGGCGGCGCGAGGAGAATTGCGCGGCGAGAGCAAGCACCATCGTGATCATCATCATCGGAGGAGGAAAGAGCCACGACGCGCCGAGAATTCGCAGGAGCGACGGAGATGGGAAGGTGAGGGGCATGGAATCCCGGAGAGAGACGGCGGCGGAGAGGACAGTAGAGTGGTGGTTGAGAAGCGAAGAGCCCATGCGCGGTGGGCTTCATCTCTGAAGCGAAGAAGGGGATCAGTTTGTCCACGTCAGCTAACTACATCCCTAGAGCGAAAGAGATATTAGAGAGAGAGAGAGAGATGGCTCCGTTCTTTGCCAATGCCATTGCCATCCACGAAAAAATACGGCGCTCTGAATTTTTTGATTCTTTTATTATACGAGTTTTATCTAATTTATGTGAATAACAAAATTTCATAGGAAAGCCGACAAGTTGACATACATACAGTTTTGACCCGTAAAATTGATAGATTTCGCTTCCAACACATCATTCTTTTTGCGACCACAAAACTCGGAATTCTATTCTGGTTCCAACTTATCTTGATTGCCCAATCACATATTATTTTATATTTTTTTTAATATTTTGAATTACCATTACTTTCTATAGTAAGTTAATTTTGAAAAAAAATTCACATGGAGTTGTCCAGATTTTTAGATCTTACAAACAAAAGAACTAACAAAGTCAATGCCCCAAAAAACCTGTTCTGAGCGTCGAATGAGATTACAACTAAAGGTCTCCTTCAAAAGGGAACGCAGAACAAATTATTCAGAAGATTGGAATCTCCAAACCAGAAGGAAAAAAAACAAAAAACAAGTTTCAGAAGATGAATGGTAGAAACTCCAATATGAAGATTTTGCCGATTACTTCAGCTTTTATCACATGATGTTGATGTCATGGAAGGATGGTAAGATCGCAACAAGAGGGTCTCCGTAACCTACAGAGTCTGATCACACACCAAGAGACATGATCAATGATCTCTTTCTTTCTTTCTTAGTTCGATTCGTTCATATTATCTCTATCTCGTTATTGATCAATGCGAGGAAGAAACTAAAACGTATAAAACGGTACCTCCATCGTCACAGAGGACCTTGAGAACTTCCCCAGCTACATCAGACTGCTCGGGAAAAAAAAAACAGAATCGAAGAGATGAGGATCGTATATGATGACCTATTTGAGGAACAGAATGAAGATATTGGGGCTTTACTTTACCTTCACTGGAAGCTCAGTTCCCAACTGATGCAGGAATCCGATAACTTGACCTTCCTTGATTACATCACCCTACACAGATAATTTCGGGCAAATCAGTGACAACTTTCAACTTCTAGCACGATTTAATTTGCATTTACCGTTTCAGATTGGAAGATCGGAAAGCAAGAGTTGGAATTTCATCGATGGGTAACCCTTTATTTACCTCTTTACAGCTGGGAGCTTGCTTCTTTCCTTTCACAGCTCTGTTCCTTTGGTAAGTGCCCACCTTTCGAGGAAAATTTTAAAGCAGAAACACAAAAATTCATCAACTACAAACTCGGTGATGGATGCAAGAAGCAGTCAAGAGAAGGATGTGCATACCCCTGGAGAAGTGACTAGGACGTAATTGTTAGATCCAGATGCCTCCAGAGAGGCCAACTTAGATGATTTCCCAAAGGATGTATTCATAAATGGGGTTGCTTTTTCAGAGGATGATTTTGCTTTAGACGGGATAGGTGCAGCAGTTGGAGCCGACTCATTCATGGGTTCAGAAGGAATAGGAGGAGCAACTGTTGGAGAAATATCCGTCAAGGGAGCAGGAGCCGTTATCTCCCCAATCTTTCGTTTTAGGTGCATTTCAAAATCTCCAACCTGTAACACAAAAAAAAAGTCGAACACAATACAGCTCTAGCCTGTTGGTTCTTATTAGAATTTGACATGCAAATGTGTTCTGAAATAGCACAAGAGGATTGCTATGACAGTGAAGTGAATAAGTAGTGAGACTTGCCTTAAGTTTCAGCTCAGCAACCTCTGTGTCATCGCACACCTCGTGAACTAATGCCTGCAATGTGTCAACAACAAACATGCAACCACCAAGGGAAGTTCTAACATTAAGTCTTCATGTGAACAAACCAGGATGAATGACCAAAGTTCTGGCAAAACAAAGAGCACGCACATACTAAAATTTATCCCAAAGAAATCTGGCACAAACCTCCAATTCGTTTGGGAAAGTTAATCGTCCAATGGTCTTCTTCACCTTTGATGCACTGGCATCGGATGAATCTGCCACAACAAAATTAAAACCCTTTAAAGAAAGAAAATAGAGTAAATATTTCAATGACCAAATCATGGGATTACGATTCCAAGTCGGTGACCGAGGTATTGTTCTAGTTGCTAGTCCTTTGCATCACAACAAAAAACATACGTGAACAGAGCTCTTTATAAAATAAAATAAAAAAACAAGACAAGACAGTGGCATTCTTGATCAGTGACTCATATGAGCTTAAACAATGAGGCAAACCATTTCAAGCCCGTCGGTGAGAAAACTGTGAATGCAGGTATAAAAGGAGGATATCCCATTGCAACTTAACTCACCTCCAGTTTCGGTTGTCGTGGAAGTTTTAGAAGCCTGTACACTCAATGCAAGGGTGAAATTCCTCTTCCCATTGAATCTCCTGTGTGGCACAAGAGAGTTACCAGAGACAGGCCAGTTTCCACAATGGAGATGAACCTTGGTGGAATTCTCTACCATAGTCTGTGAATTAGCTAGTGACCCGATGGTCTCTGTAGAATGAAGCAAGAAGGATAAAATTTGAGTTTCATGTACATACACACATAATCTCTAAGGTTGGCCAAATTCACCTTCTTCTAGCTGCAAATCTGCCTAAAGATCATATAAAAAGGACTTTCAGACCCAATTAAGAGGAGAACATCTAAAATCCAAACCTCCAAATGCCAAGGATAATCACAAACGCCAAAATGTCAGTAACACCATTACAGATCATCAACGAATCGTCTACGGAGCAACACATGGAAAAAGTGCAGGGAAAGACATTTTCCACAGCAGCCACTCCTCCGTTTCCAAATTTTCCCATCTCGTTTTCCCGAGAAACAAACAGATACCCAGCAAGAAAATAACATGCGAATAAAACGATAAAAAGAAGAGAAAAACACACATACGGTGGAGGGATCCGAGTGCAGCAGAAGACTCCATCGGAGAACAGAGGGAGCGATCGAAGAAAGAGTTTTTGATCGATTCGATGCGAAAAATGGATTTAGCGAAGATCGGTTAAGCGCGACGGTTGGAGGGGTCGTGTGATCTTTGAGTGTAGTAGCTCTTCGAAATCTCCGCCTGTGTACTGATTCAGAAGAGCGAGAGTTGTCCCTCATCCCCATTTTTATTTTTTGCTAACATGCTCCCCTTATACTTTTGCTATTTACGTTTCTGCCCTGTAATACGTATAATTTGAGCAATTCAGTCTATACCTTTACCAAATAACATAAATGCCCCACACATTTTTACCAATCTTGGACATTTCATAGGATCAAAACTCCCTTATTTGTTCTGCATTCCATATATACACTCTATATCTATCTATGCTATACATTTTTATAATAATTCAATTCATTTTTTCTGGTTTATCACACATATTTAACACTGAAAATTGGAAAGAATATAACATGAACAACAAGGTCATATGGATAATGAAGTAACAAAATATAGCATTGGATACAAGAGGGGAAGAAGATTCAATAAGGAAGATTTAGGTAAAGCATCTCCCTAAATTCCAATTTGCGGGTGTCGTTATAGAAAGTGTGGTGCCTGTTGGGCCAATAGGTCAACCAAATGCAGCCTCTGAGCTCAAACTCCATCACTTTCCCCGCGGCGGCGGCCTTATCTACCTTCCATAGGACACTCTGTCCGTAGTTATCCCCTGCGAACACCACTCCCCCTTGCCTGTTGAATGGCCTGAAAGCGCTCGAGTATCTGCCCCCACAGTCATGTTGATTTTCATTATAAGCATGATTGCGTATACTTACGTATTTCGAGTTCCGGTCTCGCGGGTACTCGACACAAACCAAAAATGGTGATGCTTACCTGTTCTTGAACCAAGCCCTAGGGTTCATCAAAGAAACCTTGGAGGGTTTGGAGGAAGAAACCTCTCTCCCGTCGTCAGCATCGTGGAGAAACCATGTGAGATTGGCGCTGTATCCATTGACCCATTCCTCGAACTTCCACGGCTTCAAGCTCGTGGTCGTGGTCTCTCCTGCCGAGACTTTGAGACCGAAGAACGTGTTGGGTGGATCCACCGTGGCCTCGAACCCTTTCTCCACTTCGAACTCTCTTGTCGGATTCTCCGAGGATTTTGTCACTGACACCATCAGAATGTTCGACTGAACCGTCGGAGTTAGTCTCAGAGATATCCGCGAAGGGAAGTGCTTTTCCTCTGCTCCATACCCTCGTTCCGACAGAAGCGTCTCGTTCACAAGTCTTATCACATCGCACCTGTCGTTTCACGTATGATGTAATTCATCATCATCTTCGAGAGAGAGAGAGAGAGAGATGTGCATACCGGACATTATCAATGTTGACTGCAACGTTAATCCACTTGTCATGAACAAAGATCCTGTGGTTGAATTGGATCACACCTTCGAGCTGGTGATAGTTCAGAGAGAAGAACAGCCTCTCATCGTTTAAACCACTGCTAGGGCTATTCTCCATCTCCATTGCTATCACTGGACAGTAAAGATGAACTTTCCACAGACCTTGAGTCGAAAACCCGTACGAAAACAACGGAGAAGGAGACTGAAGAAGCGGGCGCTGCTTAGCCGCTCTGATCTCAACCATCCAATTGGTTATGGCGAGATTCAGAGATCTCATCCACAGTTCCTCAAGGTTTGATCCTAGTTGCACCATTAGTAGCTTAGAGCCTTGCCTTGACCTACAAGTAACCAACTGGTTCTTGATCGTGTTTAGACAAACGGTTCTCAGACTAATGGGAGCTTCATAGATGCAGACGAGGAACACGAAAGTGTGGAACCCGAGGTTGAACACGTCCGCGAGGTTCGGAGAGGAACTCGGGTTTGGAATCCTGATTGAGCAACTGGTTCTCTTTATGCCATAGCTGAGAACAACATCGATGAAACCCGTCAAAAGGGTAGAGATCATCTCTTCGGTTAGGAACTTATTCGCATCAGAAGTGGTGATTCTGAAGGGTTTTGATGTCCAGAGAGAGATAGGGAGCTTGAAGTTGGCTACGATGGAGAAAGTGAATGTGTTGGAGGAGATGGATGTACGGACAACAGAGAAGTTCAGAGATGGGTGAGATGGATTTGAAGAGCAAATGCACATAGACATGGAGTTTGTCTTCCATTGGGAAAGAGGAGGAAGGGTTTGAAGCCACGAGAATGCATCAGGTGAACCACATGAAGCCATTGGAGAAAAGCTTCAAGGTTCTTTCTTTTCTTTTTTTGTCTTTTCCCTCTTGAAATCTTATCTGATTGAGTTTTTGATGTGTAGAAAGAGGAGAAGACGATGATCACACACACACACACATATATATATGTATGTATACATGTATATGTATGTATATGTAAAGATCTTTATCATGAGAGGAGAGTAAATTAATTATGTAAAGAAGAGAAAGATTCTATTCTTGATAAAAATGTCAAAAAGGAAGTAAACTATATTCGGAATTGGAAGAGAACAATAAGAGGAATGCTTTTAGGAATAGCTTTATATAGGACAAGTAGGATAACAGGATAATTGTACAACACGTTCATTACAACGGATACGTTTTTTCTTGTAATACATATGCGTGTGTGTGCGTGTATATTACGTTTAAATTGATTACGTTACAAGTTTGTTTTAGGAAGAAAATAATTGGACCGATTAAATCATTATATGTATATTAGATATCTAGAAATTATAGGTTCAACTAATGTGCTAATTCCCATTTAAAGGAAAAAGCGTGTTCATTTCATTTTGTAGCTTACACCATTCAATTAAATGACGACATCCACATATCATATAGTTTCAAACAAAATTATCCCCATAATAGAAAAGCTTTTAAGCATATATGGCTCCCCACAAAAGGGTCTATATATAGTTCATATAGTAATTAGCCAGATCAAATATCCAAATAATATTTCATTTTGCCCAATTTTTTGTGGGCAAAATGATGCCCTAATTGGAATTCCTTGCTTGTTAAGAGATTTTTTTTTTATCATCTTTAACTTATAACATATTAATAACTATATTGTATTGCCATTATTAGTAGATGCTGAAAGGTGCTTAATAACGTACTAAGCTGAAATTTTGGCCAAACACATAAAGGGTATATAACTAGATATATAAATGAAGGATTGGTGATTCTTACACTCCAATAGAGAGCTACTTGTTCATGAAGATTCGGCTTTGCATGTGGAAAATCAACCCGTATTTTCTACCATATATTCTTTGATTAGGCCGGAGAATATTTTGTTTTATTGGACCGACCCATTGTACAACAAAAATAATTGGATAAAACCCAAGCCATTTCTATATATTTTTTGCCCATATCATTACATAGTTAGGCATTCGAATAATGCGTAAATATTCAAACTTTTTGCTTCATTGTTTTTAATTATAAGATCCTTTGCGTATTTATTTTCGTTTAAAAACTTTTCAATATTGTTGCTTTAATGTTTGACTATTACTTAAAATGAGGGGAAAAAAAAGCTAAATACCAAAATGTTTGGATAATTCGTAGTTGTTCCGTCATCTCGAACTAATTTCACTTCTTTTGTTTTTTTTTACATTTGATGAAATACATAAAATTAGATAGGGATTCACTATAAATATAATTTAAAGATACATGTTTTAAGTTCGGTCCTGGTTATTAGTTCGTTAACAACCGAACCAACTAATCCCGACATTTGAATACCCGGTTCACTAGGAATCCGGTTTTCTATAAGCCCAATTTAAACCAGTTATTGGGCTGAACCAAGAGATGGGCCCATAAACTAGGCCCTAAAATATCTACTCGGGGTTTCGGCTTCCTTTCCATCCCCCACTCGTTTCCGTTTGCACCGACGCAGGGAAGATCCGAAATCTCTAGGCTTCTCCGTCGCACGTAGCTCCACGCGCCGTTGCAGCAGCCGCCGACGCCATGGCCAGTCCACCGCCAACGCTTCCGATCTCCAATCAGCAAGGTGCTCAGTCCCAGCCGCCGATTGCCACTCCTGCCTTCCGCATGTTCATCTCGCGTCTCTCTTCCTCGATCCGCGAAGGCTTCTCTCAGCGTCGTCCATGGTCGGAGGTTGTCGACAGGAGCTCCTTTTCCCGGCCGGACTCTCTCTCCGATGCCTTCTCACGGATCAGGAAGAATTTGCCCTACTTCAAGGTTAACTATGTCGCGACCGTTTCGTTGGTGCTGGCCTTGTCCCTTCTCACTCACCCTTTCTCTCTCCTCGTCCTCCTCGGACTCCTCGGTGCGTGGATGTTCCTCTACCTGTTCCGACCGTCGGATCAGCCGCTGGTTATCTTCGGGCGCACTTTCTCCGACCGCGAGACACTGCTCGCCCTTGTCGTGACGACGATCGTCGTCGTGTTCATGACGAGTGTTGGATCTCTGTTGACGTCTGCTCTGATGATTGGTGTCGGCATCGTTTGCGTGCACGGTGCGTTTAAGGTTCCGGATGATCTGTTCCTGGACGATCAAGAGCCTGCCAGTACTGGATTGCTCTCATTCCTCGGCGGATCCGCTACTTCGGCTGCTTCTGCTGTCGCAGGGCGAGTATAAGGGCTGGATTTACTTGGATCTGGACCGTGCACCTGCTTTTGAGATGAGTATACTCCTTCTTATCCACTCGTGATTGTACTTTTGGACTGCGTTTAGGGTTTGGGTTGGTCCTGTTCAATGTAGATTTGTGATGGAGCTCTACAGATCTACAATCGAGAAGCTGTTAATTTCTGCTTGGAATGTTGTACTCTATTCAATGATTCAAAATTTATTGCCTTTTCTTCAGATTCAGAGATTGGGGATTGCTCTTTTGTAAGCCTTTCTTGCATCTATGTTTTGTTTTGTTTAGGCATCTCTTTGTGTTCTTATTGAGATTAGAGATAGATTCATACATAGCAACACTCGTGGATGTATGTATGGTCAATAGGATGGATTGCTGTAGCTGGGGGTTAGCATCTTGATTTCAATTGCATAGCTTGACGAAAGTAATTAGTTATTTTGCAGCAAGTTGTTTGGACATTCCTTCTCTGGTTTGCTCTGTGATTTCTTCATGTTGCAAGCATAATGGTCGATATAGAAATCAGAAGCTAATATAGATGTGGGATTCAACTTTACTGAACACAATGGGTCGATCATCGATGGAAGGGAACTATAGAATCAAGTATAAGAACCTAAGTTATCAGTTCTGCGATCCGACTCATCATTCGCATGTTGTTGCTTTCGCACGATTTGCTTTGATAGTCTTAGGTCTCCGGAGATAGTGTTTAGTTTAGTTCAGATTGGTGTGTACCATAATGTATGCAGTTGTGTTTTTAAGGCTGATCCTTAGATATATGATACAACCATTGACCAACAAAACTTGCCTTCCATAGATAGTTGTAGATAAATCTTGTTTTGTCAACTAATAAGATGAAAGGATTAGATTTATCAGTTACTGTTACATTGCTGCAACTCCATCTTCTCATATATGTGGCTGCTAATGCTTGATTCGGACAAAAGTGTTGTCTCCTTGTGCATCTTGTTTAGGTTAACAACGGAATCGTTCACGTTGTTTGTGGGGCTTTTTTTTTCTCCCTTGTGTGTGGGAATTTGAACTGAGACGTTAGACCTCGGGGGATCAAATCACACCATTTTTTATTTTTTTTTATTTTTTTTTTGCTGCGGTTATCGATATATACTTTTTCAATGAAACGTAATTAAGTTTTTCTTCTGTCCATGGGCTCGTAACTCGTTGATATAATCGTTGGAAGCCAAGGGGATTGATCCAACGGTAGTTCTGCATCCGCGTGTCGTGTATACAGCGTAACTTCCCTTTATCGGTAATCAAAAGATCGTCAATAATAACCTCGCCCTTTCCACATGTACAATAATGAGTTTCGATTTCATCGTCCACGTGTCATTTTTATCTCGGCTTCCAGGGGTACTTTCGTAATTAAAAACTTGTGTGAGCTTTGGCAGATCTTGTCTCATTTTTTTTTAAAAAAAATGCCAGTCCGTAGGACCCACAAGTTAGCCGTTGAGGAGAGGACTGCGGTGTGTGGCTCCTCCGGCGCATTAACGGAAACTGGTCAATATCCAAATAAAATAAAAAACTAATGTAATCTTATGGACCTTTGGAACTTGTAACCAGCATACATATAATGCCTTCACAAGCAATTATTTGAGTTACACAAATCAAATAATAACCAAGTAAATTTTGAATATTGTTTTTTTAATTAGTTCTTTTTGAAGCATGGAAGCGTTAGTGTTAAGATGGACACCACAAATATTCAAATTTGGATTTTTTTATTTATTTAAGGTGGTAGTGTGCGTTTAAATTCACATGAATTGGAACGAACCAAACGATATTCGCAAAAAAAAATGTTTAAATTAATTTTTTTTCCAAAAACTGATGAGAGAAAAATAAATGAAACTAGTCGTTAGGCTCATTTACAAGAGCCTCTGCTCCACTTGAAAACCCCGTTGCCATCACCTGATTCATGTCTACTTTCTCTCTCTCCAAATATATAAAAGAAACAAAGATTCTCTCTCTCTCTGAAATGGTCACGTGCAGTGTTCCATTCCGACAAAACCCATCTCTCATTTTACAAAACTCGACCAAAGCCACAATCTTCCCCTGTTCTATTTCCTCCTCCACTCCCTCTCCATAAGGAAGCAATCAGTCTCTCATTCTTCAGCTTCCATGGAGTCTCGTCCACAAGTTTCCCCCGGTTTCTACAAAAACCAATCTCTGGTTTCGATCAACAACGCCATTGATCAGACCATGGCTTCACTTCGAAGCCGTTCCTTATCTCTCTGTCTCCACTTGATGTTACTTCTCCTTCTCTTTGTTCGTCCCGGCTCGAGCCAAGCTTGGGACGGAGTGGTGATAACTGAGGCTGATTACCAAGGCCTTCAAGCCTTCAAGCAAGAACTCATTGACCCAAAAGGGTTCTTGAGAAGCTGGAACGATTCTGGATTCGGTGCTTGCTCTGGCGGTTGGCCCGGGATCAAGTGTGCTAAAGGTCAAGTTATAGTGATTCAGCTCCCATGGAAGAGTCTTGGAGGTCGAATCACCGAGAAAATCGGACAGCTTCAAGCCCTTCGCAAGCTTAGCCTCCACGATAACCAGCTCGGTGGTTCAGTTCCTCTGTCTTTGGGACTCATCCCCAATCTCAGAGGAGTTCAGCTCTTCAATAACCTTCTTTCGGGTTCTATTCCTCCTTCTCTGGGTTCCTCTCCTCTGCTTCAGACGCTTGACCTCAGCAAGAACTCTCTCTCTGGTTTCATCCCAGATGGTCTTGCCAATTCCACCAAGCTCCTCAGGTTGAATCTCAGCTTTAACTCGCTTTCGGGTCCAATACCAGTGAGTTTAACTAGCTCTGTCTCTCTTCAGTTTCTTGCTCTTGATCACAATAACCTCTCTGGTTCGATACCTGACACCTGGGGGGGTCAGAGCCAAAACACTTCCACTGATCTCAAGGTCTTGTCTCTTGATCACAACTCCATTTCTGGTAGATTTCCAGCTTCATTAGGAAGTTTATCTCAGCTACAAGATGTCTCCTTTAGCCACAACCGGATTACCGGGTTCTTACCTGTTGAGTTAGGCAACCTCACTAAGCTTAGAACAATTGATTTTAGCGTTAATGCCATTACTGGGCCGATCCCTTCGACCCTGGGGAACCTTTCTTCGCTGAGACATCTCGATCTGTCTCACAACAAACTTACCGGAGAAATCCCAACTTCACTCTCCGATCTCAAGATCCTTACCTTCTTCAATGTCTCCTTCAATAACTTGTCTGGTCCTGTCCCTTCACTGTTGTCCCAAATGTTCAGTTCGAGCTCTTTCATCGGTAACATTCAACTGTGCGGATACAGCATTTCGACACCATGCCCTTCTATAGAACCTTCTCCGCCTCCAGAAGGAGCAAGGAAACCCCGTGGTGGAAAACTGACAACAAAAGACAAAATCCTCATTGCAGCTGGAGCCCTCCTCGTGGTTCTGCTCATACTTGTCTGCATTCTCCTCTGTTGCTTGCTGCAAAAGAAAACCGATCGGACCAAACCAAATGGCGGCATTGAGGTCGGCGCTGCAGCAGCGACTAGGGCTGAGAAGGGGGCCCCACTTGGCGGTGTAGGTGAAGCCAGTGGTGAAGCAGGAGGAAAGTTGGTTCACTTTGATGGACCGATGGCTTTCACTGCTGATGATCTTCTGTGTGCAACTGCAGAGATAATGGGGAAAAGCACTTATGGAACTGTTTACAAGGCCACACTGGAAGATGGAAGTCAAGTTGCAGTGAAGAGATTGAGAGAAAAGATCACGAAAGGCCAGAAGGAGTTCGAAAGCGAGGTTAACGTTCTGGGAAGAATCCGACATCCAAATCTCCTCGCTCTTAGGGCTTATTACTTGGGTCCCAAGGGAGAAAAGCTTGTTGTTTTCGATTACATTCCTAGAGGAAGTCTTGCAACATACCTCCATGGTGAGTAAGCTACTGTGTTTTCAAGTTCTGCAACTTTTTTTTTTCACTGCCACTCTTCGAAAATTTAGAGATAATGTAGCATCTGACTTGAGTTTTTGATCCGAAAATGCAGCACGAGGGCCGGACATTCGTATCGATTGGCCAACAAGGATGAAGATCATAAAGGATATGGCTCGAGGCTTGTTCTACCTCCATGCGCATGAGAACATCATCCATGGAAACCTGACATCCAGCAATGTGCTTCTTGACGAGAACATAAACGCAAAGATATCAGATTACGGCCTTTCCCGGCTGATGACAGCAACTGCAGGCTCGAGCGTGATTGCAACAGCTGGCGCCTTAGGATACAGAGCACCAGAGCTCTCCAAGCTGAAGAAAGCCAACACGAAAACAGATGTCTACAGCCTCGGCGTCATCACGCTGGAGCTTCTGACGGGAAAATCTCCGAGCGAGGCATTGAACGGCGTTGATTTGCCGCAGTGGGTTGCCTCCATTGTTAAAGAAGAGTGGACTAACGAGGTTTTTGATTTGGAACTCATTAGAGATGCAAATGTGATAACTGGCGATGAGCTTCTCAACACATTGAAACTGGCTCTACACTGTGTGGATCCTACGCCTTCAGATAGACCCGAAGTCCAGCAGATTCTTCAGCAGCTTGAAGAGATCAGACCCGAGACGATATCCGACCCCGTTGATCCTACAGCTGCTGCTTCCACGAGCCAGTAGGAGACCCGACTTCTCGAGAAATGGGCCATCGTTAAAATTTTGGGTAAAAGTTACAAATTCATTGATTCATTCTTGAACTAGGTTTTGTTGTTTTTTTATCAGTTTGTGTCTGTAAATACAGTAACTATTCCAGTTTCTTGTTTGTCACGTTTCATCTGATCTTGCAATAGAAAACATTAACCATTCCGACCAGATGATCATATAAGATTCGTTATGGATTGGAAGTTATTGAATCCTGAATCTAAGAAAGAGGCATGAACAAAACACAAGTATGTAACTGTAACTGTGACTGTGACCGTAACTGTAACTGCTTGTTTGAAAATCATATCCATCTCTTCTGTCTTAAATGAAAGCTAAGTAAATGAATTGAAAAAAAGCGTTGATTAGTTGGGTAACGAAATGAAAGATTGATGTGAATTTTGGTGTAATAGGAGTTTTTTTTTTTTTTTTTTTTTTTCAAAGTTTGTTGAGTTGCTTTCATTCTAAGATCATTTGTAGGTGATCTCCTTTCTAATCTTCCATCATTGTCTTTTCACGTGATTTGAACCGATCTTTGTTGAAGAAAAAAACCTCGAAATTATTTTATAAACTTCTCCTAAGATAATTTTTTTTTTATAAAAAAAGGTTAATAATAATTATCCACTTGTAACGATGGAGTCCGTCTTCGTACCAACCTTTAACTACACTTGTGAACGGAAGACTAAGCAATACACGTTTTATTCAATTCTTGAATTTTATTTCGAATTTCGTTTATATTCATGTTAGTTTTCATTTAAAAAAAGAATCATATAACTCGAAACCAAACTAAAAAGTTCGTTAAAGTTTGATGTGATTTATGATCCGTTTTTTGAATTCGATTATCTTCCCTACTCTATATATAGCCCGAATACCTAATACTAATTTTTCTTAGCATCCTTAATGAAACTTTCGGCGGTAAAAGAGTTACTTTTCCCCCGAAGATTATTCGAAATATAAAAACATATATGAATTAATCTCATATATAGTAAATAAAAAATTCAAAAAATAAAATAAAATACGGAACTAGAGTTGTTTTTGTAGATGAGAGGTCAATTTTGATTGGTGTTTGAGTTCCCATGAGGTTTCTTATAACGGTTTCTAACAATTGTTTCAAGATTCCTTGGAAGACCGACATTAACAACTCCAAACGTATTTCCTAATTTATTGTTCACCAATCCAAAACTCGAGATTAATTTTCTCATTCTATATTTTATATATATATATATATATATATATGTATATATCCATTTTGTAATAATCATTTTAAAAACTCATAACGTAATCTCACACAAGTTGACCAAATGATAATGTTTGATTAAGAGAGGTATAATCGAATTTCTCCAAGTAATAAAAGACGTATTGAAAGATAATTTATACTCGAAATTAATCCTTACGTGCCGTCTAATCTTGATATGATTTAGTGATAATCGCTATTATATGATAATTAAAAGGAAATGTTTTTATTCTCTTGCAAAAAGACAAAAATGTGTAGCCTTCGAACAAATAATATCATTTCTAACTTGGCTTTTTGTTAGGGTTAAATCATTATATGATTAAGCTTAAGCTTGAAGCCAACCCTGTTTATATATATATGTCCATGTGATATCGATTTGCCTTTAGATTGTTGAATATGCGCATCCCAACCAACCAATCAAATGTGTCTGCATGCATGTGTGTGTTTGTTAATTGTCGGAATTAATTAAATTGTTTCCCTTTAGACTTCAATTAAACATTATGATTTAAATTAACCGCAAGATATTGTTAATGAACTAAAAATTTAAAAATAAAAAACAAAACAGATTAAATGTTAATTAAATGTGAATCTTTTGCTCTTCTATATACATATACTATCATAAGGTGGTAATTTAATGATGCTTATTGTTACTAATTGTGTGGAAACAAAAAATAAAAACAACAATTTTGAAAATTGGATTTCGACCATATGCCATATATATTATTATTTCCTCTTTCCATAAAACATGAAAACGAAATTGAGAGCGTTAGGAATTGAAAGTAGGAAATGTCATATAAAAAATTGTTATGGACAAGCCACCTAATTTTTCCCTAAACCATCAAGAGATGCCTTTGGATTGGACCCGTCCGGACCCATATAAGAAAATGTGTTTGTGTGTATAATTTTTATTTGTAAGTATATTGAGTGTTCACATATAATTAATTTATGCATATGTAAAGATGTAAATGAAACCCTTAAAGTCATCTCACATTCCGTTTTAAAAAAATTATAAAGTCAATGGGATAATTAATAAATTAACCAAACAGTCCACTTTTCATAAAAGTCCAATCGGTAAGATTCATCGAATTTTATATGCTTAGGAAACATGCAGGAATTTTTATCGCCATCGACATTAGTTGATTAATTTAATTAATTATATATTGTAGGATGCAAAAATTGTAGGTCCATTACATCTTTTATAGCGTATTTATGTTTAGGAATGAATCCAGATTTCGGTTTCACTTATCAAGAAATATTATGTAAAGATATAGGGAATAAAATATTATATTATTCAATCAACCAAATAACATATATAGAGAGAGACAATAGAAAATCCTAATTCTATTAAAAGAAACTATAAAGTAATATATCAACATTAATCCTATTACAAAAAGAATTTTATAATAGATAATAACTCCAACTCTCCATAATTTCCAATATTTTCCAATACATGGAAAGAGAAAAAGTGATATTACCAATTATTTTTTGAAATAACATTAGCAATGATGCTCTTAAAAATATCAAATGCTTTTTATTTCTGTACTAGGGATGTGACAACATGGATATATACAACTTTTAACCAAGGGTATATACGTATGTATGTATGTATGCATGCATGCATGAAAAATAATGGTTTTGAAACACAAATCTTTAAAAAAGGACAAAAAGAGCATGGTTCTATAAAAATTTTCAGCATAATATTAATAATTATAATAATAATAATAATTTTTTTAAAAAAAAAAAGTGAAAAGGAAAAGCGTGTTAAGCAAGGGCTAGAAGAGACGTAATCAGCTTCCGGCCTCTAGATTTCTTCTTGTTGGCCTCAGTGGGTGCAACTACTCTTTTAGTGTTATGAAATAAAGTTTTTTTTTTTTGTCCTTCATTTAATCAAAACCTAATCCTCCAACCCCTTAATCAAAATTCCTTCCTTTTAATTATTACACAAAAATAATTCGATTATACTATTCATCATCAACTTGAAAATATTTACATCTAAAAAAAACGACCTCTCTCTCTATGACCTCTCTATATAAACTCCCTCCTCTCTCATCCTCCTCCCCACCACTTCTAATCTCTTCCTCTTCTTCATCGCTTCGCATCAATGGCGACTCTCAAGAAATCCGTTTCTCTCTGCTTCGCCTCCTTCCTTGTCGCCTTTCTCTCTGCTTCACTCTCCTGCGCCAAAGTCCATGAACATGAATTCATCGTACGTCACTCCTTCATTTCACATCATTTAGACATATAACATAAGTATTATCATATATATGGATGTATGTATGTGTGATATTGATGTGTATGCGCATGTATATACGCAGGTACAAGCGACGAAGGTGAAGAGACTGTGTAAAACCCACAACAGCATCACGGTTAACGGAATGTTCCCCGGACCAACGCTCGAAGTCTATAACGGAGACACTCTCGTCGTCAAAGTCGTTAACCGTGCCCGTTACAACGTCACTATCCACTGGTAATAAACCACCGTCCGTCCGTACGTACGGTTCATGCATGGTCACGCGCGTACGATGATGTCCTAAAACGTCTCTCTTTTTTGTTGTTGTTGTGGTTGGTATAACGTCAGGCATGGTGTGAGGCAAATGCGAACCGGGTGGGCAGATGGGCCGGAGTTCGTGACCCAGTGTCCGATCAGGCCGGGTCATAGTTACACGTACCGGTTCACCATCCACGGTGGTCAAGAAGGCACTCTCTGGTGGCACGCTCACAGCTCGTGGCTCCGAGCCACCGTCTACGGTGCTCTCATCGTCTACCCTCAGAGAGGAACCGACTATCCTTTCCCGAAACCTCATCGCGAAACCCCGATTCTTCTCGGTACGTATAATTATCGATTTTTTTTCAATTTTATTATTTGAATCAGAATCTAGATATTGATTGTATATTGAATAGGATTTTTTTTTATGTGTTTGATATATATATTAGGTGAATGGTGGGATGCGAACCCTATCGATGTAGTCAGAGAGGCCACACGAACCGGAGCTGCCCCTAATGTCTCCGATGCTTATACCATCAATGGCCAGCCAGGCGATCTATACAAATGCTCTAGTCAAGGTATTGTTCAATTTTCCACATTATGTCGTTAGAGAATTTCATAGCGGCGGTCCAATTATGGGCTTCATGTGCATGCAAACCACCCCCAAAATGTACATTTACTTCCCCGACAAGATACGAAATACTATTTCATGACACCCTTCGTCTAGAAACCCACGTCCACGTCGGTCCAAAAATACTAAGATTGTGTGTATGTATACTCTAATCAACTTTTTTTTTTCTACGCAGACACGACAATAGTTCCCATCAACGTCGGCGAGAGACATCTCCTCCGTGTGATAAACTCGGCCTTGAACCAACCGTTATTCTTCACGGTGGCTAACCACAAGCTCACGGTGGTCGGAGCCGACGCATCGTACGTAAAACCATTCACGACCACCGTCCTAATGCTCGGCCCCGGCCAGACCACCGACGTTCTCGTCACCGGCGACCAGCCACCGAACCGCTACTACATGGCCGCTAGGGCATACCAAAGCGCCCAAAACGCACCCTTTGATAACACTACCACGACCGCAATCCTCCATTACAAGACAGCGCCTTGTTGCGGTAAGAACGGCGTTTCCCTCAAACCCATCATGCCTCTTCTTCCGGCATACAACGATACAAACACCGTTACTCAATTCAGCAAGAGTTTCCGGTCACTGAGACGTGCCGATGTTCCGACCGAGGTCGACGAGAATCTGTTCTTTACTATCGGTCTCGGCCTCGACAACTGTCCCAAGAACTTTAGGGCAAGAAGATGCCAAGGTCCTAACGGGACACGATTCACAGCTTCGATGAACAACGTCTCGTTTGTTCTTCCTCGGAACTATTCTCTCCTCCAAGCACACGCTCAGGGAATTCCCAGAGTTTTCACGACCGATTTTCCGGCGATTCCTCCGGTGAAATTCGATTATACCGGAAATGTGAGCAGGTCACTTTATCAGCCGGTGAAGGGTACAAAGCTATACAAGCTCAAGTTCGGATCGAGAGTACAGATCGTCTTGCAAGATACAAGCATTGTAACACCCGAAAACCATCCCATTCATCTCCATGGCTACGATTTCTACATTTTGGCCGAGGGTTTCGGTAACTTCAACCCCAAGAAAGATACGAAAAAGTTCAATCTCGTCGACCCGCCTCTCAGAAACACTGCAGCCGTGCCCGTTAACGGATGGACCGTGATCAGATTCGTCGCTGATAACCCAGGTAACAATCTCTCTATTTATATATATATATATATATAAAGATTACAAATCATTAAAAAAATCGTTTCTTTCGGTTAAACCCAAGTTGTGAATATTGTTTGGAATGTATTGAATTTTTTTAGGGGTTTGGATAATGCATTGCCATCTGGATGTACACATAAACTGGGGTCTGGCTATGGCGTTCCTGGTGGACAACGGCGTTGGAGCTTTGCAATCACTGGAGCCACCGCCTGCAGATTTGCCGGTCTGTTAGGGCAAGAAAACGAATCAAGAATCTGAAAAGCTCTCCATAACTAAGGGGTTTGAAGAAAATGTTCATCCATATCTTCTTCATATCACTTATTTTTCACTTGTTTTCCGGGGTTAAATGATTTGAATCAGTAGTATTATTCGTAGATTTGTGTTGCATGTCCCTGCATTTTGGGACATATAGACTCATGTTTTGTTCCATTGTTTTGTTTTGTTGCTTTTGATAGATAAACCGGTTTTATTGGATTCCAACCGGTTTCCGGTATGGATCCCGACCCGGTCAGCTACATTTTTCTCGATGTATTCTTTCCACGTTTTACACCGGATTATGATGCTAAGCACATTGCAAAATTCCCATTTACTCTTCATTCTCTACCTATCAATATCTATGATTAGAGTATAATAAATCTGGTTTAATCTGGCTTATTTTAATTTAGTGCGTGAATTGTATAAATTGATATGTTCTAACTTTCAATTGGATCATGCAAGAGGATTTTTTTTTTCTTTTCAATTCATTTTGAATTCTACGATAATTGAGGAAATTTTTATTGTGTTATTAAATTCAAATGTACATAAGATATAAATAATGCGTGATTAAGAATTAAAAAAAAAACATCAAACTAAATCAGAGTAAACCGGATTTATACTATAATATCCGTATACGCTTAATTCACTTCCAAGAGAGATTGCATGATTATTCAAAGTTAGGGCCCACTTGGCCCGAAGACCAACAATATGAATCGGAGCAAAAGGTTAAATTCGGTTGTTGAGCTGAATCTATTTATTTTTCAAAACATAATATAAGAATAATAAAGTGATGACACATATATATATATATATACATATATACACATATGTAGAGCTTTTGCTCGTGTTGTTTTGAAAAAAGTCAATCATGGGTTCAACTACATGATCAAAGTATATCGTACACGGGTCTTCTTTTTCTCTAACCAGCTTTGGTCCAACACAATCTTTATTCAATTATATCGTCGGTATCTTTTTTTAGTAATGGAAATACGTGTGTATTTGGTTTACACGTGTGAATCTTTTTTACAATAAAAATGAAAATAAAAACTTTTACTCATAGAATCTCTACTTTTACCACTCGATCTCTATTAAAAAGTACCAACCCTTCGAATTAATAGAGTGATATTTATTTTTACTTTTTTTGAAAGATATAGTTAGATCAAATATCCGATAAATTTTTGGATTATATATATAAAAGTACCAAACACATTACAAACATTGATTACAAAAGTTTATGTGAGAAGATAGATAATTTCATTAGACTTTACTAACCAAATTGTTATGCATTTGTAAATTTTAGTGATCGCGGACCAAGAAATAAAATATAGTTGCATAAATAAAATATTAAAACGTGATAGCCTACGTCTTGTATTTCCACATAAAAAAAAATGCGCTGTAATTGTTGGACACAGTTTAACTATATTATTTATGCATTTTTTTTCCAATCCAAACATTAATGTATCATGTAAATCGCCAATTGTTAAACCATTTGTTATTATATGACTGTTCATTTTCATGTATGTCATTCTTAATACGATAATAACTATGATGGATGCCGAAGGTCAGAAACAAACGATAAAACTAAAAATAGAAGATTTCCAAAAAAAATAATTTTTAAAATAATTTTTAAAATTTTCCATTTCAGATAAACACCGAGAAATTTGTATGCATAATGTCCAATTCAAATAACCAAAGAGAAATTTTTATTCGAATGACCAAAGGGAAATCTTCATCTATCAAATACCAAATGGGCCTTCTACAAATCTATTACACAGGCCCATCCATATATAAAATTCAATGGAGTCAAATGAAATGAGATTTATAATCTATCAAATTCAATCTAAAAATTAATTAATATTTTTAATTAACTTGGATAAATTTAAATTAAATACGATAATGGTGAAACAAATTCTAACAACGTATTTTTTTAATAAAAGTTGAAAATTTTAAAATTAATAAAATTTAAATGCATATAATAATTTCAGAATAAAATACTGGAATTCTAGAAAAACCAAAAACCGGTCGAATGGCAAATACGGACTCCAACTTATGCTGACGTCAGACAAGAGGTTTGATGTGATGTGTCGGAATCTGAATGGATCAACGTGGTTCACATGCAAGCATATCGAACTTATGTTTCCTGTTTATAAAATAAAAAAATAATATGCTTGTGTTTCTTCTTGTCATGTATTAGAATTTAATTTTATGTTTATAAATAGAAATCAAATCATAAATCCAAGTTAAAATTTCGGTTTCATTAAAGTCTAAGCACCTCTTTGATAATTTTAAAAAATTTCCTGAAGCGTGAAAATTTGTGGGCTGTGATTCTGGATTCCTGTGGACTGCCCACTTGCATGCCCGCACACAGTTCATCCCATCATCATCATCATCATCATCATCATCACATCATCATATTAATCTTCTAGAAGTCATGGGCATATTCTCGTACACATATAGGATAATCGTTTTCCAAGTCCAAAAATAAAAATGGTCCTTATCCACTCAGTGGTGGTCCAACGGAAATTAAGTAGAATACTAGGGGGTAATAGTATCAAAAGGAAGTAGCTTAGGCCCAAAGCAAAAAAGAAGGGCTGGATACCGGGGGGATCCAGTGACACGTCATCATAAAATATCTGAAATAACGCCACATACGGAAAGTGATATAAATACCCTACGCGTATCGCTCCTGTTTGGCTCGAGCACGCGCATTTCCTAGCTTTTGAATCTTCGTTTGTTCTTCTTGTCGTTGAAGATTTTCCACGGGTTTAATCGCGAGGTGAAGTTTGAAGATTTTGATTTCTCTGAAAGTGGTGGTCTCTTGATTTCTTGTATGCCGTCTGAGAGTGGTGACAGGTTTGTTGAAGATTTCGATTTCAATGCTCTTTTTTTTTTCTTTTGGTATTTTTCTTCTGCTTTGTTGCATGTTCTTCGCGGATGAATTTGTTCTGGTTCGGTTGATGGGGTTTTAGGGTTATGATTTTGAGGGGACTGTGATTGATTTCTGGTGTGTCCGTGAGTATTTCTTTTTACTGGTTGCGTGGTATTGAGGAATTCTCATTTAGGGTTTCTGGTTTTCTAAGCGGAGAAAAATTTGGGGACGGATAAAATCGCTTAGAGAGTCAGTACCTCTCTGCTCTGATTTCTGGTGCGACTTCTTGTTTCGTCCGTGTTTCTTGCAGGAACCTGTCGAATGATTCGAGCTTGTTCTATGTCTATGTATTAAACTTGTTCCATGTCATGCTGCAGATTGTGAAAGTCTCCTGTTAGCTACTTCGCTCTGATTATACGTACAGGAGGTTGTATTGTTACTTGGAAGGTGCTTTGCTTCAAAGTATAGTTCACTGTATACTGTTTGTAAATCCCTATAGAAAGAAAAACCAAAAGAAAATACAAAGGGAAAAGGAAAATGGCTGTTCTTGATCAGGTTGCTAACCTTGCCGTTTCGATTCTTCCAGGAAAAGGAAGTCAGGGGGCAGACGGAATGGTGCCATTGTAGCTGAGATTCTCAATAAGTGGAAAGAGTACAATGAGCGAGTGGCGACATGTAGCAGTGATGGAGGTAAGAAGCCGGGCCAGAGGGCTCATGCCAAGGGTTCGAAGAAGGGTTGCATGACAGGAAAAGGTGGACCTGAAAATTTCGATTGCGATTACAGAGGAGTTAGGCAGAGGACATGGGGGAAGTGGGTTGCTGAGATCCGAGAGCCGAATAAGGGTACTAGGCTTTGGCTTGGTACCTTCCCTAACGCATACGAAGCTGCATTGGCGTATGATAATGCTGCGAGGGCTATGTACGGGCAGTCTGCCCGCCTTAATCTTCCCCACATCACAAAGAGTTCATCTTCAGCAGCGGCTATGACTACGATTACCGACTCTACAACGTTGACAGGAGAATCAGAAGTATGTGCAGTCGAGGACACCAATGTGATTCCAAGTAGTATTCAGGTGAAACTAGAGCATTGTAATGGTGAAGCTATACCTTGTGAAGTACCCTTAGACACGGATATGGTGGAGGCGAGAGAGGGGAGAAATGCCCGAGAACTGGGTTCAACTGATGATTGTGGCATTAGACCTGTCCTGAAGGAGGAACCACATGGACAGATGGGTTCGAATGATGTGATGGAGGAGGCTATGAATGGTGGACATGAGGAATGGACTATTGGGCATCATAGGCAAGAACCGGAAGATTCTTGGGAGACGTTTGATGTAGAGGAGTTGTTGAATCTATTAGACGAAAAGCATATCCTCCCTGAGGAAGAAGAGGCAAAACAAGGTGGTTTGGAAGCGGAAAGACCATCAGACTTTACCTACCAGATGCAGTACCCAGATGCTAAGTTGCTCGGTAGCCTCAACCACATGGTGAACGCCGACTCTGGCATGGATTACGGGTTTCCTCTCGTCCGGCCAAATCAACCAGAGAATGAAAATATCGACGGTGGCCAGTTCCTCGGACTGGATTTAACACGCTTGGATTTCAGGGCAACCCATCTTTCCGGCATAGAAGACGATACTCACAACACTGATCAGGATCTCGAATTTTGCCCTTCCTTACCAAAGGTGGCGACTTGCGATTGCGGCAGCTATTGCAATCGCGATTGCGATTACGGCAGCAGATGTGGAGGAGAGCTATCTTGTCGGAAGATGATGAAAAAGCTCGGAGCTCCTCCCCAAGTGAGTGGTTCACCATAGTCATCACTGTCTAACCCTCAGAAGCTGACTTGTTTCTCTGTGAATTAGTAGCACCATCAAAACTTTGAATATGATGATGATTCTTTCCTTGTTTTTGTTGTGAGTACACATAATGTTTGAAATTTTGGATAGTTAGGTGTTGTGAATGAAAGAAATTACTTCTGCATGTCGGATTTCTTACAGTGACCCATCTTTAGAATGTTCTGTCTTTTTTTTTTAATTAATCTGATAATAAATCACATTTCCTCATTCTTTGAGTGTAATATTCGTCTGATTGGATTTATTTTAAAATTAAAATCAAAGGAGAAAGCATTGCAAAGGACTTTTTGAAGATGAGCTCAGCCATGGATGGCATGACAATTTCAATATCTGAAAAAACTTGTTCTGCAAAAATAAAAATTTGAATATTTCAAAAAGTGCATATATGGGGACATGCTGATCTCTCTACTCTTTATTTATACGATCGTGTATCCCTTTTTTTTGGATAGAGGGGAAAAAAAAAAAAGTTGGCAATCTGTTTTTATTTTTTTTTTTCTTAGTTGGCAACATGATATTTAATTATTCTCACAATTGGATGCCATGGCCCATGGGCCATGACTATCTGTATACCTTTAGAATTTTCCTTTGACCATGTGCCCTTTTTTTCTTTTTGCATTTTTTACACCTTCCTCTTGGAATATATTGTTGTACTGTTTTATATATTTATCTATATATATTTTTTTAAAATAAGATTATGTTTTTATAGAATCTACTCGATTTTTTTGTTCCAAATTCGTTTGAGAATTTGTGCGTTATTGGACTAGTTTTCACAAGGATCAGATCAAGGCCCACATAATTATATTTAAATCAAAGTTGCAAATATCGAATAGAAAATAGTCAAAATACAAATGAAAAAGAAAGACAAAAGCAATTGCATGTCAAAACTCTGGCAACCGATCCAGTTGCAAAAATGACATAAAGAAATACAAAGAAATTTGAAAACTAATATATATTCTTAACATGTTAATGTAGAATTATTTTGATTTTAAATTTTGTATGTAGTTATATAAATATTAATTGGAAGTAAAAATTAATTCTTTATGTTATAAATCCACCCATGTCAGGCGTATCTGTATCATTTAATGCAAATAGAAATACATTCTCATTTCTCATTTAGGAAAAAAAATTATCTAAATTTTGAAGGAAATGATAAAAGGAAAATTAGTATTTTTGTAAAAGAAAGAAAATTAGTTGGCAAAAGAGTTCAAAATTTTCGAAATGATCTGCTTTAATGAGTTAAAAACTTAATCTCGATTTTCCAAAAATTCACCTTTATGAGGGTTGGATTCTTATTTGATATATATATATATATATATATATATATATCCATTTAAAGCCTTTCAATGAAATAAAACAAAATAGATTTGTGGTACCTAAACCGACAATATAGCAAAAGTACCTTTATTTTGCTACAAAGACTTCACGGTATACCTTTTAAAACCTTAGAGTTTTGAAAAAAAGGAACAAAAGACATAATTAACCCTCTCAGAAAAGTAACGTGACACCCCCTCTTCCCACTTACTTAGTCATTTTGAATTTATCTCTCTCGTTCTCATACTTTGGTAACTCTCCATTTATTTCTTAACTTTCTCTCTCCACTCTTATCTTTCTCTCAACTCTTCTATTTTTCCATTCTCATTTCATTTTTACGCATAGAAAAACAAACGAAAAATGATTATTTCGTTGAACATATCTTCACCCCGACGACCTCATATCTTCTTCTTGAGTAGGCCTAAGACAGAACAAATGACAAGAACTAAAGGTAAGTTCATTAATACAAGAGATTGGTTCGATGCATAAACTTTGTGTTTTGGGTTTGAGTTTTATGATTTTTAAAGTGAATCGTGTGGTTTTTTATGAAAATGAGACAGATGCATAGCAAATCTGTCCAAGAATATGGAAGAGGCGCATATTTAATTTCAAATAAATGTTCGGAGCGATAATGGAACAGATTGAAAACGAAAACAAAGGTACGTCACATTGGTTACACTGTTTAAAATTTAATTTTAGTCACACTGGTCACACTGGTCATACAGGTCACATTGATCACACTAGTCACATTGGTCACACTGGTCACTCTGGTCACACCGTTCAAAATTTAGTTTTGGTCACACCAGCCATATTGGTCACACTGGTCACCCTAGTCAAACTGGTAACACTAGTCACATTGATCACACCATTCAATATTTAAAACTCTAATCATATTGATCACACTGGTCACATGAGTCATATTGATCGCGTAGGTCGTACAACTTAATATTAAACTTTGTTCACTTGGTCACACTGGTCACAACGAAAATTTTTAAAATTCACGCGAAAAAATTTATTTTTTTGTGATGGATGGAGTTTTAAAAATTTTAAAATATCTAAATTTTTTTCTAGGAAACCAAAAACTGTTTTTCTCTCTTTTCTCATTAATGTTTCTGTTATTGGAACCAACGTCAATGAGTATTATGGGAATAACATAATTATAAAGGTATATATGTTTTGAAGTAGTTTTTATTTTTATTTTTGCAAGGATATATTGTGAAGTCTTTGTAGCATAATAGGAGTATTTTTTTATAAAAGCCCACCTAAACCCAATGATTGTACGATCAACAACTGTTTGTGTTGTTCAAGTTTAGAGATAAATACAAAATATATAAATTTTGTATTTTTTTATTAAAATTTCACTTTTGTAATCTCTGAATATATATATATAGATAGAATTAAAACTATAAGTTAATTGAATTAAATTTATCGGTTTATAATTTAAATTAAACATAATTTAAAAGAAAATTACCAGTAGTAAGAGATACCATGTCTATACCCATAAAATACAATAGCGGATTTGAATAGTCAGAAGACTGTAATTTTATAGCCAATAAGACTCGAATATTAAAACACTATTCTGAAGAATTCGACATTTATAACACAAATTTTATTATATATATATATATATATATCTCAAATTTTAAGATCAAATTATATATTTATTTATTTATTTATTGAGAGGTATATCATAATTTACTGTTATGTGTTAATGAATTTTATGGATAATTTTCCTACTTTGCAACTTTTACATTTGTGATAGTCACTTGTATTTCTTTACCTATAATTGTTTTAAAAATTTGTTGGATATTTTCCGTCAACATTTTTGTTATTTATTTATTTATTTAATTAGAGTTAATAGCCGGTGCAACACATGCATGTTGGCATCGATTGTATGATCATATTAAATTAAATTAAGAACAAATCATAATAAAAAACATTAGCAATAGGATGTTCTTTTCCTTTGATACATACAACTTACAAGTGTATTTACTTGTGTATTTTACTAAGGCATATTTACCAAGTGGTACAAAAAACAAACTTATTTACCGGATTTCATCATAAATATTCAGAGAATATTAACAATTAAAGTGTTTGATTTGTCTTATATTTCTACTTGACACATTGATTATAAAATCATAGATATTTAATGGTTTTAAAATTTGTTTGGTGATTATTTATGTTTAATAATTAGCACATTTGGATATTTTTAATTACTAGTGTTGTATTATGCAATTAAATTTGGATATTGCTAGTTTTTTTATTTAACCTGAACAACAGCCCTTAAAATATTAATTTTATTTGAGGTTAACTCTAACCAATTGGCTAGAGAATACAAAGATATAAAAATCGATTCAAATTTGAATTCAATCGCTTGAGCTCGGTCGTATATGTACCATTTGAATATTATTATCTAATATTTATTTTATATATAAAAAAAAGATGTAATAGTAAAACTGTAAACATCATTTTTTTTCCATCAAAGAAATAAGAAAATCCCTTGAAATCCCAAGTGTTAATGGCTTTACGAGTTTATATTTAAATGAATTAATATATCAATTTCAAATTAAAGAAGACAATTTGAATCCCAACCAATTGAAACCTGCACCGAAAATACCTAAAATTTTGGGTTTGCGTACGCATATATATCATAAGATACGAACAAATATATGTTACATACGTATTTATAGCAACAGCAAAAGACATAACCTGTTTTTCTATCAATAAAATTTATTTTCATTTTTCCAAATTTAAAACCTTCGCCGGTTGTTGAAACTGTACCCCAAAAAAAATCCCAAGTGGACAACCAACGAAACCCCGAAACTACTTTCTCTCTCTTAATTAATCCATTGTCTGTGTGTGTATATATATATACACGCATACACGTTTTGCATATATGCATCTCATTACAACTTCCAAATCCTTCACGACCTTAGAGAAAGAAAACCCATTAATTCATTAGAGACGGAGAGAAAAAAAAAACGCAAAAATAATGCCTTCTTCGCTGCAGTTCCAGCGATCCGCCGATGTGGCAAACGCCGTCGTGAGCTCCGGTCACGGTCACAGTTATAAGCTGCTCGTCACACCGTTAACGAGAGTGTGCCTCACGCGCGGCATGACGGACGTCCCGGAACACGTGGCGCTCCGGCACACGCGCGCTGTGGGTCCGACGCAGTGCTGCTCCGCGGTGGCGACTGAGATCCACGCGCCTCCGTCGGCCGTGTGGGCCATCCTCCGCCGGTTCGACAGCCCTCAGTCGTACAAGCACTTCGTACGGAGCTGCGACGTGGTGCACGGCGACGGAGTCCACGTAGGGTCGGTTCGGGAGGTCCGGGTCGTGTCGGGACTCCCCGCGGGGTTCAGCGTCGAGAGGCTCGAGGTCATGGACGAGGAGCGCCGCGTCATCAGCTTCAGCGTCGTGGGTGGGGACCACAGGCTCAAGAACTACAGGTCGGTGACGACGGTGCACGAGTCACCGGACGGGAAGGGGACACACGTCGTCGAGTCATACGTCGTTGACGTTCCCGTCGATAACACCAAGGATGAGACCTGCAGCTTCGTCGACACCATCGTACGGTGCAACTTGCAGTCTTTGGCCCAGCTGGCGGAGAACTCGACCAAGACTCCGTAAAAGATCTCGTAATTATAAAACCCATCCTTTCTTTGATTTTTTTTTCAAATAATTCCATATTTTAATAACTTTTATATATATTTTTTTGGATTCTCGATATGGGTTTTGATCAAGGAATCAAAATCCTTCGAGGGTTTTTCGTAAAATTAAGAGGAAAATATAAAAGACTGTGATGTGAGTTTGTTTGTTGTTTTTTCGAAGTTGGGATTTGGGGGATTTGTCTTACATAGTACATACGTATGTTTGCCCCCTCTCCCTTCCTCTTGACCCCTTTGTACGTATAGCTCTTGAAACTTTATAACAAACATCTTTATTTAGGGTTTTTAATATTATTTCCCCTCATTTTATATGTATACTGATTTCCCATGAACCGTTGATATTGAAGTACCGAATCTTATTTCGATATTTTGGCGCAAATCATCGTCAAAATTTGCAATTTGAAAGAAAGTCCAAAATGTCTTCCAATTGGTTTACCTGCTTGAATTAGTGATTAGTGATTAATCCGATAATTAAGGATAGTTATCACTAATCAGTGCTAATTGTGACTAGGGGAGATTTACTACGAGCTCTTGAGGAATCAAAATTATGCTAGTACGGATAAAAACTTTGGGAGGTTCATCTGCAGACATTATCATATACATTTTTTAATTCGATAATGTGTTAAAATATATAATCATTGACGCAGTTGGTAGATAATAAAAAAAACACACCCATGTGTTTATGCATATTATCTATTAAATTTTCCATCTCTTAAAAATTACCATTAATATGAGTTTTAATTCGCAAGGAAATTGTGTTTAAAAGGATAATGGATATATATATACGGGTTGAAACTCGACCATGCATATTGTATAAGATTTGCAAGTTTTTGTTTTTGATGAATTTATTGCTGGTCGAGAGATTTGTTGCTGAACTCCGTATGTTTATTTAGAATATAATTTTGAGATTATGAAAATTTAATTTTATTATAACTTGCCACTAATTAACAGTGAAAGCCAGTTCATCGGTTGCACAAAAATCAAAGAATATAAATAGTTTACATAATATTAGAATTTGTATATTATTATACTTTCTATTCGGTTGGAATTTATATACTAGTAAGATAATAACATCACCTTATATTTTGACCATTAACAACATCACAACTTGTAACAATTTTGATTTAAAGCCAAAATTTAGGGTATATGCAAGGAATTAAAGTAAAGGGTAAGGTGGGAAGGATTGAGTGCAAACCTTATTTATTTTGAAAATGAAAAAGGCACACACACATATATATATATATATATGTGTGTGTGTGTGTATGTATAGTTGAAATTATCATTTACCAACTATACATAAAGAATCTTGATTTTTTTCTGTGTGCGTGAGAGAGAGAGAGAGTACTTCAAAGTTCTAATTTGTAAGCAATTGGACAAAATTTATAACTTTGTTTCCTTGGAATAACTGCTACACAGGAGCCCACTTGTCCGAGATTTTGTGTGGATATACGTAAAATGTTTTTGTATATTTTATAAGCAAATATACCACTTAATCAAAATTTCACAATCTTTTTATTATATATTTGAGTGGATGTCTAGATTTTTTTAATCAATATATATACATATATATATATAAAATGAGTTCGGGTTTCCAATATCCTCATATTGTATATTATAAAGATTTGAAAGTTGTATTAAAATCTTTATGTACTCAAAAGAATCAACATATGAAAAATGCAAGTTGGGTGTAATGAAATTCAACTTGGTTTAGAAAAAAAAAACAAGGCAAGTTGCAAAAAAGCCGCTACTGTTCTTTTGCCAACTTTAGAAAAATTATATTCCATAGAAATATAGGATGAAAAATATGATTGTTGTATATATAATAATTATGTAAATATTTGTTGTGGAAGGGAGGAAATGCATGCAAGTTGATAGGCAAGTTGGCAAGGAGGCTATTAATGTGTTTTCCCTCTTTTGGTCGCACGTAAAAAATGACATTAAAAACCCACCTACCCTCCCTCATCATATATTTTGTAATTTAACTTATTAATGTTTATTTTTTTTTTCAGATGGGTTTATTTTAATTAATCTTTTTTTTCCCAATGAAATGGAAATGAAATTCTGACTTCTAGATCGAACTGATAACTTATATATACACTGTTTTCATTTTCTGATGATAGTATATGTTAATATTAAAAGAGAAGAAAAACAACTACTCATAAATAAACCAACTTAGAGTGGTCCAGTGGTCGATCTGATGGTACAAAGTATCTAAAGATCAGATATTCGACTCCATTTGAAGGAGAAAGATGTAATTTTTGGACCAAAATATCTACATATAAAGACTGGTTCCAGACTTAGAGTGAATATAATCAGGACAAAAGTCTGGAAAACCATCATAGTTATAAAAAAAACTATATATCAATATATTAGAATTCTTTATTTAGATTACAAAACTTCATGAAATATTTTTAGTATATACATTTTCTGTTTGTATATATTTTCCATTTTTTTTCCACTCATATTGTGATGAAATCATGCATTTCAATTTCACATCTCAATAAAAAAAGTTTTTGAATACTATCGGATGACATTTCGAATATAATTTCCGGGTTAAACTCGGAATACAAAAACGGTCCGGGCTTATATATGTCAAATTGGATATAATTTACTTTATGAGAGGAGAGAGTGTACATATATTTTTATTTAATCTAATTTAAATAATTGATCAAATATTTTTATTTTTATTTTGCTGTAATTAGAATTTACGTGTGAACTTGTTGAAATTCACGTGAAAATTGAATTATGAATTGAAAGATTTTGTAATGTCTAATCTAGGGCTATATACTTGGCAGTGACAATGGCTCCAGAGACCTCCTCAGCAAGCAGAAGTATTTTAGGGTTTCCAAAGTATAATACTATACATATATATATATATATATATATATATATATATATATGTGTGTGTGTGTGTGTGTTTATTATTGCATTTAGTTTTAAGATAATGATTTAGAAATGTCATCAAGCAAAGGAATGACTCATCCAAGAGACAAGTGACAGGCTACCTTCATGATTAAAATGGCAGGAGCTGTAATTAGAATTTACGTGTGAACTTGTTGAAATTCACGTGAAAATTGAATTATGAATTGAAAGATTTTGTAATGTCTAATCTAGGGCTATATACTTGGCAGTGACAATGGCTCCAGAGACCTCCTCAGCAAGCAGAAGTATTTTAGGGTTTCCAAAGTATAATACTATACATATATATATATATATATATATATATATATATGTGTGTGTGTATGTGTGTTAATTATTGCATTTAGTTTTAAGATAATGATTTAGAAATGTCATCAAGCAAAGGAATGACTCATCCAAGAGACAAGTGACAGGCTACCTTCATGATTAAAATGGCAGGATGGACCGCACCCAAACTATGTTTCCAAATATGTGTGTGTATATCATATGGATCTAACATACAAAATCTCTTAGAATTTGATAAAATATACTAACAAATGAAAATGGGATAATATTGTGTCTATCATATGTGATTTTAGTTCACTTGCTTGCCTAAAATTCTCCAATAGATTTAAAAATATAACGAAAAAGAATACTCGTTTTACCATTACAACACAAATTTAATCTAAAATTCCGGTCTTAAATAACAGTCAAATCCAAAAAATTTCGAACACAATAGCTATAAAAAAAAATCCCCAAAATTTTTTTTGTACTCTTTCCAAATCGATGAAAAAATTATTTACTTTTTTCGTTAAATTAAACCCTATACTTTGTGTGATTAACCAATAAAACTCTAAACTTTTTAAAAATTTACCGAAAATCCTCTGCATTTGCCAATTCAAACAAAAATAATGATGCGACAATAACATTGTTTTCAAATCATGCACACATTATTATAATTATGTCATATCATCATTTCAAACAAAATTTAAATTGAAATAATTTATTTAAATTAATATATACATATCACACATATATACATATCTATAACATATGTATATTATAAATTATATTATAAATAATATATGCATATACATATTGTTTTTAATATATATAGGATATATATATATATATATATATTAGTTATAATAACTTTTATTTAATATGTATATTAGTTATATATGTATATGTTGCATGTATAACTAATATATATACATATACATATTATTTTTAATAGATATATTATATGTATATGTGTTAGTTATATTTACTTTTACTTTAATATGCATATTAGTTGTATATGTATATGTTGTATGTATAATTAAGATATATACATATACATATCATTTTTAATAGATATATTATATATATATATATATATATGTTAGTTATAATTACTTTTATTTTAATATGCATATTAGTTGTATATGTATATGTTGTATATATAACTAATATATATACATATATATGTTACTTTTAATAGATATATTATATGTATATATTAGTAGATCGGAAGGTTTCACAACCAAAGAATGTCAAGATTCAAGAAGAAAGTTTTTTTTTTCCTCCTACTAATTTACTGGCGTTTATTGAAAACGAAAACGTTGTATGTATAACTTTTATTTATATACATATCCATATTATTTTAATATATATATATATATATATATATTATATGTATATATGTTAGTTATAATTACTTATATATATATATGTGTGAATTTGTATGCATATATATTAATTTAAATAAATTATTCAATCTAAATTTTGTTTGAAATGATAATGCGACTATGATTATGTGTGCATGATTTGGAAGCCATATCATTGACACATCATCATTTTTATTTGAGTTGTCTCAGAGTTTTCATATTTTTTTTAAAAAATTTAGAGTTTTATTGGTTAATCACACCAAACATAAGGTTTAATTAGTAACAAAAAAAGTACATATTTTTTTCTGTAGGAAGAATACAAGGGTTTTTTTTCTTCTTCTTGATTTCCCCTCAAAAAATATCTACTTGCTCATGCGAATCTTGTAAGACAATTGAATTTAATGATAATAATATTAAAGTACAAAGGTTTTAAATTTGAACTGCCAAAATATAAATTTGGATTATACGGAAAGATCATGACGAATATCCCCATCCTTGGCATAATAATTTACTTAAATGAGTAGCTTCCCCGAATAACAATAATAATATGGCCCCTCCACAAATTTTGTATATATATTTGTTCCGATCCCCAATAGTATGGATCTTCTTCTGTGAGCGTTGTCTCCTTGCAGCAGTTCTTGCCCGGAAAATACGAAACCGTATATGCTCCTGCAGGGAAATACGAAACCGTATGTCGAAAATGGGACAAGACTGTATTAGACCCTTTTTTTTTGCGGGAGAGTGGTCAAAGTTCCTTCGAAGTTACGAATCAGAATCAGATCATCAATCTCTAGAAGGAAAACATAATGCAGAAGTGCAGTGAATGATTCTGTTTCTTGGGTCCCAAGTAACGAGTGTTATCTTTCTTTTCATGGATATACAAAGTGTGTATATATATTTTTTCCGTTTATGGAATTTGTTTCATTTTTTACACTTTTATAATCTTTTTTTTTATAACAATTTTCGAATTCAATATCACAAATACACGAAAATTTTATTGTTTGAAGTATGAATACGAGTATAAGAATCTTGATTTTTTTTGGATATTTTATCCGCACTCATCCCTATTAAGATAATGTAATGGTGCATGTATATGTGTAAAATTGATCAATAGCAATAATATTCAAGTACGCTATGAAAGCCATATGGATAAACACAGAGTGGCATCAGTTAAATAAACTGGTACAAGAATGTCTGAGAGGGCAGAGTGAGTGAAAACAGTAAAAAAAAAAAAAGGTAAATCCTTTCATCACTGCGGCAGAAGAACAAGAAGGAAAGGCACCTTTCTAACAGGCAGTCATGTCGGCCAAAAGGGTGCGCACATAGACGGCAATAATCTCGTAGATCGATCGGGTCAGGGCCAGGGGTCAGGTGCCTTGGTGACCATATCATGAATCAGAGATGAACAGAACAATGGCCGCCTCAGAAGTTGACGGGAGAATACGAGCTTCGGTGCCCGTAACTAGGCCCTCTTATTCTCTGAACCACTGAAGCAAAAAGGCTCTGCGAAAATGAAGGGAATGAACAAAAACACAGAGCCTGAAGTCATTAGGGTCTAGGACAATGCTTTTAATAAATATGCATCAACAAGTTTTTGGACTCGTTATGACGTTTTCTGTATAAATCCATCCCCAAAACTGTGTTTACCGACAGATAGCAATCCTAACTAATCATTAGGAATCCCGGGATTTATGTTTTAGGAGACGAGTTCATGAGTACGCCAAGGCAACGAACTCGAATAACAGGACTAGTAGTATCTCCTTGAATTCTTGCTTCCGAAGTAAAATTTTCCCGCAAGCAAGATGATCAAATCCACAAAAAGATGAGAAATAAACAGAGAAGAGTACCTGTATTCCGCGAGGAACAGTCGTCCAGAAATCCAAATTTGGAATTACCTAAAGAAGAGTGCATGTTTTACGTAAGAATAGCACATATCAGCCGAAAAGCTAAACTAGCCATAATAATTCTTTCTTGCTTATGAGCGCCGACTAAGACCAGATAAAGGCAAGACAATACGATACGGCATTAACTATGATGTGCCTGAAAAAAACATAGTTTACAACGAATTCAGAAGGAAAAATGACAAAGCGAACGTACATCTATGCCACGAACTCCAAGGGCAGAGTACCGGTAAACTGCACCGGCAAGAAAATAAGCTCCAAATAGGCACAAGATACTGAAAAGTAATGAATTTGCAGTGTTAGTTCAAAATGTTTCAACTCAGAACCCGGCTTTTACCCTAATTGCAATATACCAGCCAGCCTCTAAAAGAATGAAGCACTGACATGATCAGTAAGGTACCAAACCAGCCCCATCCACCACCATGGCCCGATACAGCTGAAGCACATCCAGAAGGATGCCGCAACTCAGTAGCCTGGGAATTAAACAAAGATCATGAACGCTGAGTGTAAACTTGAAAAGAAGACAATGCCCTAGGTTTCACAACCAAAGAATGTCAAGATTCAAGAAGAAAGTTTTTTTTTTCCTCCTACTAATTTACTGGCGTTTATTGAAAACGAAAACCCATAAACGACAATTACAAGTAATCCCAGTGTCTCATACGGGAATCCACGAGATTAGACATGATGCACAGATATATTCGGAACCTGGAAAGATATAACAGCAGTGAAAAGATTTCCTAAATAGACTGTTTAAGAAAGACCGCCACTCGTTTCAAAAGATGAGTAGCTAGAAACTCACATAATGACATGCGCCTGATTTCTCCAGTTTGATTGGCCCCTGATACAAAACCAGTACATGAGGTAGTAGGTCATAGAAAGTGCTAATCAACTCCAAAATTTCCAACTTATTAGATGTAGTAAAATGCCCGGGAAACAATTACTTACATCAACTTTGTTCGTCTGGCAGATAACAGAAACCGAGACTGAACAATTTTTCTCCCCGCTGCCACTGGACATCTTGACAATGATGCCTTTACCAGGATTCTCTTTATCTACCATATTCAAAATAACATCCCTCAGACACCACCATCATCAACACAGAAACCTTAGGAAAAAGGTCATGTAAGAAGTTCAGTTTCATCATTAGTTCGCAAAGCTAGGGCAACGGGTTAATACCACATCATGAGGTGTCATGATTTACCATGACAACCAAGTATCTCTCCTTTTTCACACGGAAAACAGTATCTCAAGAAAGCAAAAATTCTCATGTTCTTACCAATAACATCAACTCTTGTCTTTGAAACATGCCCTATGGCATTACATACATCATACCCTGCAAATGGCATGGAGATTTCTTCAGACCCAACCCAAAGATGTTGTCCCTAGCTCAAAGCACTGGATAGAGAGTTGCTAGAAGGAAATAACAAAATGGCTATATTTTGAATAAATTAAAGATAATCAAGAAACCATTGCACAGATTTTCCTGGGTGAAGTTTCATTCAGCCTCGTAGAATGCATTAACGTAACACGCTACCATGACTGAAATCTTGTACCTCTTACATGTTCCGAGACAAGTGCGCTACATGCTGTTCCACAGTGTGATGGACCTCCACAATCCTATGTCGCCAAAACGAAAGTCACAAAGAGAGAGTAAGATTTCTAAATTGAAAGCAAAAGACATTGCTTTCGGGTGAGGAATATAACAACAATGGTTATGTAAGTAACTGAAGATCTCACCGCACAACCAACACATCGTGGGGGGTCATGATTGAAAATCAATGCATCGCAAAGCTGCTCCAAAAGAAGGTTTACAGAGAACACAACAATGAATCACCATGGTGTACTGGAATAAAGTAAAAAGCTAAAGGGCAGTGTACGAATATCAGGAAATCGCAGAACTTGAAAGTAAAACCACCCTTTTCTTCAGAAGCATCCTAAACCAAATCTGTTAAAGATTCAGCTTAAGTTATTCTTTTCTAGTTCTCCAACATATAACTATTTCGCATGACCGGTTAGAGGTGAAAAGTAATAGGACATGTAACCATTTCACTGAAAACAGATGCAATAGGACATATCACGACGGATCGACAATGAGTAATATAACTGTTAAAAACGAAGAAACAAAATGTAACCTGATATAGAGGACAACCTGAAACCAGAGCACTGTGCCATTTGCCTCTACTCTATAAAACCTGCCCATTGAACAAGCGCCTTTAGTGTATCGATAATTCCCTAAATACAATTGAAGTTCACACAAAGGTTCTAACTTTAAACCCTCAATTAGCTCGGTTCTTAAAGTGAAAACTCGACAAGAGAAACTTCAATCAAGAAACTTAGTCAAACATCATTACATCAAAAAAAAAAAAAAACTTAGCCAAACATCGAGTACAAAACAGAATTCCCAAAGAGATCTTCCTACTAATCCTACAGTAAAATTTGCAAAGAAGCATACTACAAGTATGCACTTTTAATTACCAAAACAGTAGTTTGCACCCAGAGACCGGAAAGCGCGAAATTCAAGCTTAAGAAGAGTAACCCATACAACCAATTTCGAGGAAAAGGGAATCTGAGACAGAGCGAGAAGAAAAAAAAGGTACCCATCTTCACTGAGGGCACCATGAGGGTAGTTCGGCAATGGAGACACCAGGTTGAAATCGAAAACCTTGTTGCGCCGAGTGAAACTGAGTTCGCATAGCGAGTCAACTCGCTGGAGAATCACGACGAGAGCCGTGAGCATTGAGATCAGGATCAAACAGCTCCCAGACATTTTTCACTTCTTCGCTCCTCGATTTCTGCAGGCGGGAATTTCCAGATTTTCCCCCTATCCCTACGATCTCATCACGATGTCTGGGATCTCGACGAAAATGACGACAGAGAGGGCAACGTGAAATGCTCGGGAACGAATTAACTCAAAAGACAGCTTCGGTTCGCAGTGACAAAATGATTGTTGGTCCAACCAAAGTTTTCTCTGGCGCCTCTAAACTTATCCCGGTTTATCAAATCAACCCCAAACTATTTTAAGGTAATGTTTAGTCCCCAGATTATTATGGTAATGTGAAGCCCGAAATTTTCAAAATAGATTATTTCCAGCTGCTAAGACGGAAGCCATATATGTGTAAATAAAAATAATCTTAGATCTGGTTTTTGTTATATATTTGAACACAACAATAGCCTTAACTCTCCTATTAATGGACCACTCCATTCTTCGAAATTTTGAGGAATATTAATTAGTTTGGGTCGGTCCAATCATACTTATATATTCTCCTAATGGTCTGAACTCTGATAACCGGCCGACACGTGGCGCTATATGATAGGTTTGTTTTCAGTGCCTCTCGCCACGACTACGCGGTTGGGAGCACTCAATTTCCGTAGACCGCGGAGCACCAGATCACTCACGTTTCTTCTTGCTTGCAGAGGTGAACATAACAAAATCATCGCATTCAAAACTGGAGAACGAGCCAGAGAAAGGGGAGACAGAGAGAGAGGAGGCATGAAGATTGTTTGGATTTTGTTGTTGTCAATGTTAGTGGCTTCAAACGCGGATCAAGGTTTCGATGTTCGTCAACACCTATCCACCGTTACCAGGTCCTCTCTCTTTCTCTGGATCTCAACATGTTTTCTGTTTTTGTTTGGTAGCCGAGAAATCTTAAATTAGGAACAGAACTAAGCTTTCGTTTCGATTGTTGTCTGAGCTAAATTAGTGCCTCTGGATTTTTGTCACAAAATCAGTACAGAATGCGAGAATTTTGTGTAGTTTTAGTTAGAGATTTTACATCTACTCTCGTGGGAAATGAATTGGTTTTTGCAGATACGATGCTGTGAAAGATGTTGCTCAAAATCTGTTTGAGCCTTCAGAAGTTCCCCGTGACTGCACACCTATCCATCTTAACCTTGTGGTGAGCTTAATTTTATTTTCTTGGAGAGTGGGATAAACGAATCAAGTGAGCAAATGTGAAGATTGTGATGTTGTTTTGTTGTGTGGTAGGCTAGGCATGGAACTCGGTCTCCGACCAAGAAACGGTTGCGAGAATTAGAGAATTTGGCTGTTCGGTTTAAGGAACTTGTAAAAGATGCAGAAGGTAGGAATTCGCCGTTGCACAAGATTCCTGGCTGGTTAAGGGAGTGGGAATCTCCTTGGAAAGGAAAAGTGAAGGGTGGGGAACTGATAAGTCTAGGAGAAGAGGAATTGTATCGGCTGGGAATTCAGGTCAGAGAGAGATTTCCCAACCTGTTTGAGGATGATTACCACCCGGATGTCTACATGATAAGGGCTACACAGGTTGCTCCCTGTTCAAGTTTGTTATTCTGATCTGTTTAAGCTGATATGATTATGTTGGTAGTGAAGCTTAGTCTAAAAGGTTGTGATCGACGGTATTTTCTGATTGTTTCTCTGTTATTTGTTATACAATAGATTCCTCGAGCATCTGCAAGTGCTGTGGCGTTTGGCATGGGGCTGTTTAGTGGGAGAGGAAAGCTGGGACCTGGCCAGAATAGAGCATTCGCTGTCACCAGTGAAAACCGTGCAAGTGATACAAAGTTGAGATTTTTCGAGTGTTGTCAAAACTATAAGGTATGGTTCTTCTGGTTGATTCAAAGTAAGGTATTATTGTTGATTTAATGGACCGTCATTACTATATTATTCCCATCATTTATTTGCTAAGCTTATGATTTTCGCATGGTCTGTGGAGGCAGTCCTACAGAAAATCCAAGGAACCTGCTGTTGATAAACTCAAGGAACCTGTTCTGTACGAGATTACTGCAGCTGTAGCGAAGAGATATGATATAAATTTCACAAAACAGGATATTTCTTCACTCTGGTTTCTGTGCAAGCAGGTGCTCACCTCTTCCAGCTTGAATAAACACAACAAAAGTTTCTTCATTTGAATTGGACCTATTTACTACTCAATCATGAATTATTTGATAAGTCATACTAATCGCCGTTCTAAAATTTATCAGGAAGCATCACTGCTAAATGTAACTGATCAAGCTTGTGCCCTTTTTACCCCATCTGAGGTATAAATTGCCAAAGCTTTTTGTCTGTGTTCTGACTTTCGTAATCTGTGCTGCTTAGACAACTTTAGCTTTTAATGCTAATTACATGTGGCATATGCATTTTGCAGGTTGCTTTGCTTGAGTGGACGGATGATCTAGAGGTGTTCATCCTCAAAGGTTATGGCAATTCCTTGAACTATCGAATGGGAGCTCCTTTGCTACAGGATGTTTTACATTCAATGGAAGAAGCTGTCAAGGCCCGAAAAGGTAAAGACCACATAAAAGCAGAACACAAACAGGTTATTCTCATAAATGGATTCTAGTATTTTGACTTTCTTAATTACAGAGAAGCTGCCTTCTGGAAGTTATGAGAAGGCAAGGCTTAGGTTTGCACATGCTGAAACTGTGGTTCCCTTTTCTTGTCTCCTTGGGCTTTTCCTCGATGGATCTGGTTTGTCTTATATGCTTTTGACTGCTGAGATTCCCATATATGCATATTTCTTAATGCTTGTTTCTTATTGAGGATGCCTAATGTTTCAGACTTCGAGAAAATTAAAAAGGAGCAACCTTTGGAACTCCCTACGAAGCCACCCAAGAGCAGAAACTTCAGAGGCCGTACAATGGCTCCTTTTGGTGGGAACAACATGCTCGTCCTCTATAGCTGTCCTGCAGACTCCTCCTCAGCCAATTACTTTGTGCAAGTTCTGCATAATGAGCAACCCATTCCACTTCCAGTAAGTTTCATCGATCTGATGTACAAACTCACCTTTGGCTTCTACGATAATCGGCAGCGAAATAGCAAGACCCAACTCTTCGTAATTCTTGAGAAGTGAATTGATGACTGATTTTGCCATCTTTCTCTTGTTCTCAAATTTGTAACTTATTCATTTCCATATGAATTGATCGTTTTCCCGCCAACAGGGTTGCGATGGGAAGGACTTCTGCCCTCTTGAAGTTTTCAAGGTACGACCTCTTTCCCGGGGCAGAGTTATTAAATTTGTCCTTCTAAGAACTTCATGCTCTGTTATGGCTTGTTTGCAGGAGAGAATAGTGGAGCCTCATCTCAAGCATGACTTTGACATTCTCTGCAATGCTAAGCCGGATGGGCAGCCAGCATCCAGTACGTTGTCTTTGCTGTACGGTTGGCTGTTTGGATCGAGAAATGGAGATACCGAGCTCTAGTTTTTCCATAACAAAAGAAAGAAAGGTCACACACTAATTTTTACAACGTAGTTCTTTAGCTGAAAAAGGCGTGCGAGGCCAATTTCGATTTCGATGGTTTGTTTCCCGTAGAATCGTTGTTCATTCTGAATGTTCATGTAAACGCCCTACAAACATGTTGAAATGGAAAACTCCATTCCTGGCCAGTGGCTTTGAAACCATTTTTTAGAATGGGTCTTAGTGTTCCGACTAGTGCGAATAGGACTTCTGCTTCCTCCATTGGATGTGCTGAAACATATATATATATATATACACAACCAAAGCTTTAGTCCGGTGTGGATTTTTGTTAAGAGGAGGAATGAGGCGAGAAGATTGAAATGATATACAGCTGGTGAGAATTATGGCCCCTTTGTTCGTTGCCAGTTTCACCACATCCCATAAGCTTTTCCTCGAGGCCCGATCAAGTCCATCGCTGGGTTCCATCTCCCGAATGCACTTCCGGAATGCGACCCCCTTTTGCCGTTGAAGCGAATATGAGAATGCAATTCTTCAATAATCATTTTGGATAGTTCAAGAGTTGAAATATGAATACAAAACATTTATCCCATTTATTCCGTTTCTGAATGAGTCTCAAATTAGAGGGAAAAGTATAATTTCAATCACACTGCTTGTTTTCGAAGTGTTTTCGAAGTGTGATTAATTTGGATTTCGATTCAAGATATCCAATTATCCAAAAAAATTTTTTTTTCAATATATTTTGACGAAAATATATAAATTATTATCAAAAGATTAGATAGCTCAACGATTAAAGAAATGAAAAAAAAAACAAATTTGCAATCCAGATTCTAAGCTCAAAGACATTTACATAGGTTTTTTTATATTTTAGGTGATATAGTTAGGTGGAAAGTATAATGAGGTTACGGATTTAAAAAAATTATGTAGACAGCAATTTGATTCCAAACGACGTCGTTTCATAAGTCAGCCGAAAGCAGCAGCCAATTTCGCCTCTCGGTGCTTAAAAGTTAAAAACCCTAGCTCCTCTCTAAACCACATCTCCCTCGAACGACCTTCCCCAAGAAACAAACGCAGAAACGTTCGGGAAAATCAACTTGATCATGGCGAGTCATACACCGAATCTGGAGTGCCGGATGTACGAGGCAAAGTACCCGGAGGTTGACATGGCGGTGATGATCCAGGTCAAGAACATCGCCGATATGGGAGCCTATGTGTATCTGCTCGAGTACAACAACATCGAAGGTATGATCCTATTCTCCGAGCTCTCTCGCCGTCGGATCCGTAGTGTGAGCAGTCTCATCAAGGTTGGAAGAATCGAGCCTGTCATGGTGCTGCGTGTCGACAAAGAGAAGGGTTACATTGACCTGAGCAAGCGTAGGGTTAGTGAGGAGGATATTCAGGCATGTGAGGAGAGGTACAACAAAAGCAAACTCGTTCATTCTATCATGCGTCATGTTGCCGAGACTCTGGGAATAGATTTGGAGGTAACTCACCTAATTGCTTCTTGTTCTAGATGGAATAGATGTGGAATTTGTGATTCTCGCACGGAAATGTTTCCTGGATTTTGCTGTTTGGAGGCAATTCCTTGGAGATACACATTTGCTTTCAAATAATGGTGTAGGAAGCTTTGCATTTGTATCTCTTTTCCACTGGGTGTGATAATTTTGTAGGTTTTACACTGTTTTATGGGTTTCAACCGATGCTGTATTGTTAATTGAAATCTTGAATATATTGCAAATCCGGTATCTATAGGCAGGGATTCAGGGAGTGATGAGGTGAAATTTTGGACTCACTAAAGGGTCGTGTTTGTAAGATTGCATGTGAAAGGGAACCAAGTTCTTTCTTCGTGTTAGGCTATTAGTTTGGCATTGGTTATGACTCATTGTGGCACTGTGTAGTTAAATTGTCAGACTTTCATACTGGATTTTTATGGCTTGTTGGTCTTATCTCTGCTTTGTTGTTAATTGTAGTTTCATATTGCAGGAGTTGTATATAAATATTGGCTGGCCTTTGTACCGGAAATATGGTCATGCTTTTGAGGTAAGAATTTGTGAATCAACATCTATTAGATCCCTCGATGTGGCAGAATTACTTTTATCTCAAACCAGCCTTATTTACTCAGGCATTCAAGATCATCGTGACGGATCCTGATTCCGTGTTGAATTCCCTCACCCGTGAGATTAAAGAAGTTGGGCCTGATGGGCAGGAGGTACGTTTTTTTTTAATCCTATGAGTTCGCTTTAAATTCTTTCTTCTGGTTGTTCATTTCACTGGCTTTGTCTTCTGCAGGTGACTAAAGTTGTACCTGCTGTGACGGAGGAGGTGAAGGACGCTCTTGTGAAGAATATCAGGAGGAGAATGACACCACAGCCTATGAAGATCCGAGCTGATATCGAATTGAAGTGTTTTCAGTTTGATGGAGTTCTTCACATTAAGGTCGTATTTGTTGTTGAAAAACTACCCATTACAGCCAAAAAAAAATGGCAACATCAATTGATTGGTTACATGTATGTCTGAATTTTGCAGGAGGCAATGCGGAAGGCTGAAGCTGCTGGAACTGATGACTGTCCTGTAAGGATTAAGTTGGTTGCTCCTCCTCTATACGTCCTTACTACTCAGACACTTGACAAGGTGATGGAGTCTTCTATCTTGTTTTCTGGTTTACACGGTAATAGGATAGAAGTTCATGTTGATAGCAAGAAAGCAAACTCGTCGATAGTTGAAGTTAATTTTTCGTCGGTAACTGTTCACCGGGAAAAAGACTAAAATTTACAGACAACTCATTGAGCTGTGATGTTCCGTCTTCAAACGGGTGATCGAATGTGCTACTTTGCATCATTGTAAAACTGCTAAACCCTTCCATCTTCAAGCCCTTTTAATTCTTTTAAACTTGTGTGTGACAGGAGCAAGGAATTGCAACTCTGAGCAAAGCCATTACAGCTTGCACTGAAACAATTGAGCTACACAAGGGCAAACTCTCCGTAAAGGAGGCACCAAGAGCCGTGAGTCCATGATTTCTGTTCCATTTTCATGCCCATTACGGTTTCAAATCCTTAGTCTCGAGATCATACGATATGTAATGGATCGAATTGTGGTTTTAATACATGCAGGTGAGTGAACGGGACGATAAGCTGCTGGCTGAACACATGGCCAAGCTCGGACTCGAGAATGAAGAAGTTAGTGGCGACGAAGACAGTGAAGAGGACGAGGAAGAAGACACGGGAATGGGTGATGTTGACGTTGATGCTGTCACTGGTATCACTGAGTGAGATTCTCTTGATTTCACCCTTTGGGAAACTTGAATCTCTCCAAATTTTTCACCTTCACATACCCATCTCTCCAGAATTAAGAGTTTTTTTTTTTTTGAAAAAAAGGCAAACGTACTTATATGCTTTGTATCCTGTTCTAAGATTTTTTATGAAATTCTTCCCATAATCCTCTCCTTTGTGTGCTTGTTCATGCGAAATCTTGATGAATTGGATGCTTCTTCTTTTTTTGTCTAATTAATATTTTTTGAATATATATACATATGGAATACCCCTAATATACTATAATAACAAATGTTAAAAAAGAATCATGGGTCCAATCGGATATTTTCATTTTTACGGATCCCAAATTGTACTTATCTCTTTGTTTTCTAGAGTTTTCTCTTCTTAACTGAGGCTGCCATCTCACTCCGACATCTCTATAAATATCGGGTAATTTTCTCCATTTTTAATTTTAAATTTAATTTATTAACCCGGGCCACTTCTCAGTTACTGAGAAGTTTATCCTCCTCCAGTCTCCATCGTTATCTCCGCCGTGAGTTCCTTTGCTCCGATGTTCCCATCGTGGCTGCAGCCTCACCGGCGTCGTCAGTTCAGTCCGGCGGACAGTCCGAGAACTCCGAGACACTACTCCTGCACTTCCTTCAAAGATGTTCAGGATCTCCTCAACGAAGATCTCCCGCCGGAACCCAATACCCCTAAACGCCCATCCCTTCTCCACCGGGTCCGGTGCTTCAGCGTCCGCGACCACGCCCCACGCGCTTTTGCGGCGCCGAAGGCTGGCTTCGCAGTGGAAATCCCCAACGCCGACCACCGCGGCGTGGTTCTCTACTTCACCAGCCTCCGTATCGTTCGCAAGACCTTCGAGGAGTGCAGATCCGTCCGATCTATGCTCCGCGGGTTCCGGATTCCGATTGACGAACGAGATCTGACGATGGATTCAAATTTCCAGGACGAGTTGCAGGCGATATTCGGGACGAAGAACGTGGCGTTGCCGAAGGTGTTCATCGGCGGGAGATACGTCGGCGGAGCGGAGGAGATCAAGCGGATGCAGGAGAGCGACGAGCTGAGGAGGGTGATCGGGAAATTAAAGCCGTCGGATGGGGCGATTTCCGGAATCTGCGGTGCGTGTGGAGGGCTGAGATTCGTGATGTGCGAACGGTGCGATGGAAGCCATAAGATCTACTCGGAGAAGCGTGGATTCAAAAGCTGCACGGCCTGCAACTCGTACGGCCTCGTCAAGTGTCCGGCGTGTTTCCCGACGCACCGGCGGCGGACATCGTCGTAGCTCCGGCAGATTTCGAAAACAAAATAGGGAGGAAAAGAAAAGAAGAAAATAACGTTGAAAAAAAAAGAAAGAAAAGGAAAGGGTTAGGTAGGTAGGGTTTTAAGTTACTATCCATAGGAATGAGTTTTGAATACATTAAGTCGAGGAAGCAAAATAGGAAGCATACCGTATTTTTTATTAATGTATTTGACTCTCGGCTCATTTAATGTTGGATCCTATTTGACATGTGTACCTTCTCTCTCTATTTCCATTTTTATGGCCGAAAATGAAATATAGATAGTTTGTTCGATATATTATTATTATTATTATTTTAAGTTTTTAACTGCATTTTTTTTTATTTTTCGTAGGCCAAAGCATTTTTCGAAAGAAAAAAAATATATGAAAGTCATGCTGAGCCAGGGTTTTTAAACCTAATAACCTATTTGGTCGCAGCAATTTTAGGTACACCACCAGAAAAAAAAAAAAATTTTCAATTTTAATCCACTTTTCGATTGAAAAAGTCCAAAATATCTTTTTCGTTTTATTTTTTGCGACTTTTTTGCGACTAACATATAACTGATATACAACTAAAATAAGATGGATAATTTTTTTTACCACCTTTTTGTAACTATATTTAGAATTAATTACGAAGTCGTAATAACGAAATTGTTTTCGAACGGATAAATATCGTGATTTATTAAGGATAATTTCGTCTTTTTATGGAGAAAAAAATGTGTTATGTTTTTTGTGGCGTCCAGTTGAAATAATAGATGCGACCAAGTGGGTCATTTGAGTGATTTTACCGCTGAGCCATGCGAGCTCAGAGCTTCCTCTGTTCGTCTCCATATGCCTTATCCGATCTTTCTGATCTTCTGCCTCTGATTATGGATCCCTGATTCGGCCTCGGTTTGATTTTCTTACTCGCACATCTTCTGCTCTTGTTGTCTCTCTCTCTCTCTCTCTTTACTTGGTCTGGTGATGGATGAGGACCGGAAATCCGCTCGATTAAGGCTCCGGATGAGTTTTGCTGTGTCGTTTTTGTTGCTTTTTAGTTTCGGTTCGTGTATTTCGTTGAACGATTCAGGTAGAGATATTTTTCTTTTGTCTGTTTGGTTGTCTGCGAACAGAAGGAAATTCCTGAGAAATTTTCCTTTTCGGATGTTTCGGTTTCGGTGTCTAGGTCCTGATTTGCTGAAATGCAAAGAAATGATGGTGACAGAGTCTTTTCCTTCGTCACCGGCTTGGAGGGATGGCGAGGGAGGGGTCAATCTGTATTCAAATGGAGTAGCGGCGGATTCGTAAGTAGCAGCTCCGAGTTTTCCGTGAATTTTGGTTGCTCAAATTTTTGAACGCCAATTTTTATCGATGCTTTTGTTATTGTACTTGCTTTGATTGAAATGGTCAATATGGTTCCTAGTTGGATTAAGGTTAACGTTTTAAGTTTTGAGATCAAGTCCTGCATTTGGTGTTTGTGCTTCTGCTGAATCTAATCTGCGTAGTAATTGTTTGCTTGAAATTGGAACTTATAGCAATAATATGCTAGGATCTGATGATCCTTGATTCTTGATTCTTCAATCATGCTTGAAATGTAATGGGTGGGTTACAATCACAGCTGGGAAATGAATTCGTTGAACATCAATATAAATGAAATCAGATTGTTAGCTATATCACTTTAATCATACAAGATTGTAGGTTATTCGAATGATTCAATGCTCTTATGGTGTATCTGCAGGCTTCACTCATGCAGAAGGATGTTCATGATACCGGCATTGGGATAATCTGGTTCCTGTACCCTTTTTTTAAACTTCTTAAATTTCTTCGACATGATCATTTTGGTCTTGCTTTGTTGTTTCTCATTTGATAGCAATTTTTTATTTCCATGTGTGTTTAACCTTGATTTCATTCTCCTATTATTTTTGTAGGACAGCTGTTGGCTTTGGAAGGGGAGCCTTGTCGCACCGGTTAACGTGTTACCGTTATGACTTAGAGGTCACGGTTCGAATCCGGGAGGCAGCCTCTTGCAGAAAATACACCCTTGTGGTGGGATCTTTCCCCGGACCCCGCTCAACGGGAATGCTTTGTGCACCGGGCTACCTTAGCTGTCAGCTTTCACAGGAAACTACTCCTGATCATTTCTACAATCCATACACTATTTTGGATGGAAACCGTTCTGCAGCAACTGTCACACCATCGGCATCTTCGACACCATCTCCAAGACCTATAGGCTTTTGCAAAGAAATATATTCCACCAGCTGAGGTGCGGACGGGAGCCGGTGAACAACACGTTTCTGCTCCACCTCCTTTTGCGCCCCCACATAAAAGAGACTCACCAGACACATTCTTCCAATCCAAGAAGCTCTCCATCTTCCTTAGACTCCTCTTGTAGTCACTGGCTGCATCGAGGCTGCTATTGTTCTGATCCTCTTAGCTGCTGGTGTATTATTTTTCAGAAACAAAGCAGGCAAATCTGTTAATCCTTGGCGTACAGGACTTAGTGGATAACTTCAGAAAGCATTCATAACTGGTGAGTATTCTTTCTCATCCTTCGTTTTTTTTTAAAGTGAAGTTTAGATAACCTTATAATTTTATTGTTGTGTTAGAACCAGACAGATTCAGATATCCCAATTTCTGACATCAATCCTTGGGAAATACGTTTTAGCAACTAAAAGCTTTAGTCTGTTTCTAGTATTCAGGCCTTACTGGACCTAACCATGTCAACAGACTCATCCTAGCTTTAATCAAATATGAAAGAATCTCTAGCAGCACCTTTGGAGTGGAGTGCCTATTTCGGGACATACTTTGCCGTTTGCCCAGTCACCTTTGATTATTTTGATTTATAATATAATTACATTATGTTTGGAAAATTCACATTCCATGATTGTTACCTTGGTCTATAGAATGCTTACCAAGTACCCAACTGCTTTTTGGTTCGCATTTTAACCGTCTCATATGTGGTGGTACTCAGGTGTCCCGAACTCAAAAGGATCTAAGATTGAAGCTGCCTGTGAAGATTTCGGTAATGTAACTGGATTGCGCCCCATAATTACATTGTTCAAAGGGGCACTATCGAGTGGGAGTAGAAATAGCTGTGGCTTCTGTAGCTGTTTTTCTGTTAAAAACTGGAAGGATAGTGTAGAAATGGATTTCAGGGAAGAAGGTAATCTTCGTCAAACCCATTTCTTATTCCTTCGATTCAGAGTACTTTCTCTGTGGCAATCACTCTCCTTATCACTTTTTTTAAACAAATTTCAGATTGAAACGTTATCAAAGATAGCCACGAGAATTTCGTGAACCTTCTTGGGTACTGTGGAGAAGATGGAAGTTTTCACTAGGATCTTTGAATATGCTCCAAACGGATCACTCGTCAAGCATCTACACAGTAAGTAGTAAGTACAATCCCGGAATACATATACACACACAGATATCACATTATATACTCCATACAAGGTTTTTTTTGTGTTTTTTTGCCTCAACCACGTCGATGGAGTATAATACGCTTAGTTGGCTAGTCTTTTATGCATAAACTGAAAGCCATTTTTGCTGCAGTTAAAGAATCTGGGCACTTGGACTGGGGAATCCACCCGCTTCTCACAGCTACCTTTTTCTCGTTAGAGGTTTATGATCTCTCGGAGGATCACGCCGTCAAAGTTGCTGATTTAAGTTTCGGCAACCCAAAGTTCCCGTCAGCGAAAGAGAATATCGCCAGTTCACTCATAGATACAACAATGAGTCTCGGTCACAACAAGAGAAGACAACGTCTGGAGATGATGGTCGGAAAACTCCCAGACGCAGTTAACGAAGACGACTCGGCAGAGAGCGTTTTCGAAGATTTCTTGAGAGGAGAGACTCGAAACAACATGGCGGATCCATCCAACGTTTGAATCAAATCTGTTGATGACGAAAAGATTGAGAAAATAGGTGAAGTGATGAAATCTTGTATAAAGACCGACCTGAAAGAGAGATCGGTGGTGAAAGAGAGATCTCGAGGGTATCCCCGGAAGAAGGTGCCGTCCCGAAAATGCCGCAGCAGCAAAGGTGGGCAGAGCTGGAGTAAGTCCCTTCGCCAGAAACTGTAAGTATTTCAGAAAATATTGGAAGAGTGTATTGTGTTTTGTTTTGTTTTGTTTTGTAGCTTGTCAAGATCGTTCAGTTGTTGATTTGTGCTTTCTTAGCATACATGTATATTATATATATATGCTGCACATACATATACACACACATATATTATATTATATGTCCCTATCGAATGGGCATTTTTGAAAGATGAGATGAAAAAACTTTGTATGATACAATCATTAGCCAATGGGACATACCAATTGATCATTGGTAAGAGTTCCAAATCACGTTTTTCATGTACAGATAGAATAAATTCCAAACGGTCATAAATAAATAATGTTATGTTATTATGTATATATATATATAATATTCTAGACTTATGAGGGGATTTATTATACTTATCTGGAAATTTAGACTTCTACATCCTTTGAATCAATTATATGGTTATGTGTGAATGATCATACGCTCTTTGATAATATTAATTTTATATTCTACGACTTATTCTGTAATAATCAAGCAACCTACATTCCACGAAGATGCTCTGCCCGGTCGTGGGACAAAGTCCAACTTCATTCTCTTTCGATAATTTAAAAAAAAACGCAACACGACTTTTGTCTTGTTACTCTATTATTATTATTATTATAATAATAATGATAATGGGAAAAGGCATATTATATTTGCAATTGCACTTTCGAACCGTAGGGACCATGCTGACCCTTGCGTAGCTGCAATGGCTACATCCATGCAAGCCCATGCATAATACGTACAAATCCTTATATTATTTTTTTAAAATCCTCTTTTCGAATATATTCTCTCCCTTTCTCTCTCTTAAAATACTCCTTCACATATTTTGATTTGGTTATTTCCTATGCATCAAACCTGCTTAACCGGATTGAAGGTTACATATATATCCCATCAATATATATATGCTCATAAAATCAAATAACTGAAGTTACGAATCGGATATATATGTGTAGGAATTTGATTTAATTCTTGTACGCATTGACCTGGTCAAGGTAGACCTTTTTTCAAAGGGAATTTACGTTTGGAGAATCCAATTAATTGCAATTTATTTCTCTAGTTTGACCATATATCCTAGCGCGTGTGACGATTGGCGAAGGAACCTAGTTTAGATCGGGAAGGTCGGTCCAATTATTAATGTTGGAGAAATCAAACTAAACGGGCAATTTAATTCTGCCCTCAATTAATAACGGCGACTAAGATTCATTACGGCTATATAGACAGTATATATATATACATCCATAATATCTTTTTTTTTTTATACATTGGGAACCCCGACTGCTACCCTTTGGGCGCGTTGTCCGAGTAAACCAAAACTCACACGCACGAGTCTGCAACACACGCGTGGGAGGTAAATAAGCCGTAACTGACAGACGATAGGTGTTTGCAAGGAGCATGCTCACCTAGGGTTCCCCCTACATCCATAATATCTTGGACTTGCGAATACCTAATTATTTTGACCGAGGAAAAATTCTTACATCCATGTTCCATAAATATCACACGAAAACGTTTTCATTGCTAATAAATACACGTCGTTTACACGAAAAAAAAAATTATGGTGTAAGATAAGAGTTACACGTTCACACATACAAAAAATTAGCCACAAAAACGAAAATTTCGGGTTTCCATATTACATATTACGTGTGAGGACCTATTTCAAGAAATGTTAGATGTCGGATTCGATTTCCATCTTCATATCATATTATAAATTTAAAAAAAGAAAAAAGAAAAAAGTTCTCGAAAAATGGGGAATTAAATTACATGGACAAGCTTAGCATGTGTACATGAAGACAAATCCGTGATTGTCGTTGGTGAAATAAACCAAGTGTCAATATTTTCTTCCAATGTCTGTGAATGAACGAAGACAGCCCATCACCTTTAGGACTGGCGATTCCTCTTCCACGCCCATCTCTCTCTCTCTCTCTCTCTCTCTCTCTCTCTCCCCAATTACCAAAGATGTAGGGTTTTGGATTCTTTCTGTTTCACAGCTTGAAGTCACGAGCTCATCGCCCAAACCATTCCCTTTTTGTTATTTTCCAAGTGTTAGTGCCACAAAGTCCAACCCCTTTTTTTCTTGCTGCTTTAGTGGTCGATTTAATTTCTGAGTTGTAACGATCGATGGACGACGTTTCATTAATGAACTCCTCAATGTTTTGTGAAGGAAAGCGGAGTTAAATCCATTAACTTATCTCATTACTCCCTCCGTTCGTTCAAAACTTAAACACGCAAATTAAAAAAGATACTGTAATAGTTTGTCCAAAATACCTTTATTTATTAGATAGAGAATTGTTACATCTAAATATACAGAATATTTAAGTGTTATTAATCAGGGATTAATTTGGAAAAAAATATTAAAAATTACATAAAAAAATCTAGAAAACATCATTTATTTTGAAACAAAAATATTGATTTTAAAACGTCATCTAAACTGAAACTGAGGGAGAATCTAACTTTAATGAGAATCTAAAACAGTTAGATCTTGAGTTTAACTTGGTTAATTAGAGCTACCATGCGATCTCTTTATTATAATTTATAATACATATAATGCCATAGTTCTAAAATTTGAATACCGACATATGTCACACTCAAAAGTTGTTGATGACTCGAAATTGATAAGGAGCGAGAACTTTAATTTCGACAATGATTTGTACTGAGTTTGGAACCATACAAGATTAGTAAATGATATTGCCTAAATTTAACGTAAAAAGTATGTGTTTTGCCTTGAGAGGTGTAAAACTCTCTCTCTCTCTCTCTCTCTCTATACCAATTACAATAATGTTTGAATACCCGCTGCTTCATCAAGATCGGTTTTTCAACATAGGTGTATATACCGAGAGAGAGAGAGAGTGATACAAGCATCCAAAAAGTCATACAAAGAGACCTTCAAAAGTCATCACCTTAAATTCCTAACACACATATGTATGCCTTGATTGATCTTTTGTCAAAGGACTCCAACAAGGAACCACCCAAAAAAAACACGACACCCCAAAACAGCCAAATAGCTAGAGAACAAGATGAGATCAAGCACCAACAGCTCTGAAAATTCCAAGACTTGCCCATCTAACAGTTGCAAGACAATCAAGAAAGAAGAAGAAGATAAGGATATCGACGATGAAGGAGATCAAGAAGAAGCAAAGACTAGAGGAGATCATCAGAGCTCGTCAAGCAATAGCTATGTCGAGGAATGTCCGGGTCATCATCAAATCAAGAAAAATGGTGGATCCGTTAGACCCTACAACCGGTCCAAGACCCCGAGGCTGCGATGGACCCCCGAGCTCCATCGTTGCTTTCTTCAAGCTGTGGAGAGATTGGGAGGCCAAGATAGTTAAGTAGAATTAACCGATATAAGGATCAAGATTTTGAATCTAGAGATATATATATTCTCTAGCTAGGGTTTTTCTTGTTGATATTTACTGGGTATCTTTTAAATGTTTTGATGGATGGGAACAGGGGCAACACCAAAGTTGGTTCTTCAAACGATGAACGTCAAAGGACTTAGCATAGCCCATGTCAAGAGCCATCTTCAGGTTGTGCATATACACATATGTATTATACACAGTTAATTATGCTTAATCATTTTGCCCTTTTCTTTTTCTTTTTTTTGGATTTTTTGTATTGTTAGATGTACAGAAGCAAGAAGGCCGATGAACCTAATCAAGGTAATTACTACAAGACTCTGAATGATTTTAATTAGTTAGGGTTTCTATATGCTTCTTATGCATGAATCTTATATATAATTGATTTTTTTTCAGGACAACAAGGATTTTCATTTGAAACCGGAACTGGTTATACTTGCAGCCTTAGCCAAGTTCCAATGTTACAAAGTTTCGATCAAAGGCCTTCTACTAGCTTAGGGTATGCTGATCCAAAAGTTTTCCATTTTATATATCCCCATTCTAAGAAATTATATGCAATATGTTTGTTTTTTTTTTAAACTTGGATTAGATACGATGACCCTTCATGGTCCGACCATGGACCGCTGATCAATTGTAACCCCTGGAGAGGCCTAACCACGAGAGACGGTGCAAGATCGGGACAACCATTGTTCATCTCACTGAACGAGAGATTTCATCGAAGCAGCAATATGGGCACGTTTGGCATTGGATCTCACTCGAGTAGTAAGAAGACGACCTTTAATTTAAACAATGAAGAAGTTGAAGCCTTCCAAAGAAGCCATAGAAGAACTCTTGAAGATCTGAAAATTTTTAATGGATCGTGGGTACGGAGCCTATGTGATCCATCATCCACAGAAAAATGGATAGACGTTTCAACACATCGTGGTAAGATCGCAACATCTAACTCCGTTCGAGTGGCCGAAGGGTCGGGAATCGTCTTGAAGAGGAAAAGATTGTTTTTGTTCGAGGATTGTGATCACAATAAGTCGTGTCAAGATTTGGATCTAAGCTTGTCCCTTAAGGCAACTCCTCAAACCTATGCCAATGTTGGACTAAAGGGAAAGGGATGCTTATTGTTCGGAGATGAACATGGACAAGATCATCAAGACTGTAAGAGCTTGTCTCTTTCGTTGTCTTCCTCTAGTTCATCGAGGCTCAGTCTATCAACGCCGACAAAGGAGGATGATCTTCGAGATCATAATAGAAAGAGAAAGATTTCGGTTTCGGCAAGTACCCTTGATCTGACTTTATGAATATATATATTATATATATATATATACACACGTTCATATATATATATATGTATGTATGTATTCTAAGTGAGATCTTGAGGTACTTGTTGATGTAAGAGAGCGTTGTATTGTAGCATTCATTTGACAAGATCAATAAGGTAATAAAGCTATATAGAGACATTTTCGATGGTAAATAGAAAGTACTCCATGTATTTATTTTTTAAAAATACATGTCGTTTTAAATTTTTTTTTAAAAAAGTTATACGTATCCTTATTTAATACCCTAAAAGTCGTGTTTTCATTAATTAATCTATTGAAATTAGATACTTTTAATTAAAAATAAAATTGGAAATTTTCTTCAAAAAACGCATAGAAAATCTAAAATAACATCTATTAAATAACAAAATAAATATTTTTTAAAAAAAAAGGGAAATATTTGTTTTCCTCGTTATATTGTCTTGATTTTTACTGCTAATTGAAAACAATTATACATGTTTTTGTTGTGATTAGGATCTGATATGATATTGAATAGTACCGAGGAATAGATTAGTCTATAAAATTGTTTTGAGAATTACTAGACATTGCACGTTGCATAACAGTGTCCTGTTGCCAGAGTTTCAAACTTTCATAATAAATATATGGCTCCCGAGCTTCGCTCACTCTCACACGACAAGAATCCTAAGCAATTTCAACATTATTTTTGTTTAATCGAGATTTCGATTGAGAATTATTTCATTAAAAATTATTATTTTCAATAATAATGCCTACTTTGTTGTTTTCTTCGTCTACTTTTTTTTTAAAACAAAATTCTTTATAACGGATTAAGAACCGTATCATTTCGAGTTAACATCTTACCTTAACTGTATATATCGTATATTTATACGGTATTGAGGATATATATATATATATATATAGGACAGAAGACAGTCAGATGTACTTGGCATGGTTCGACATCGTCGACAGACAATAAATCATTTGTTTTTTCCTAAATTATATTATAGTAACCTTATCATCTAGGGTCTTTTTCATGGAAATTCGAAATTTGAGAATATTTCAGTCTTTTTCACGGAAAAATCGAAATCCGTGATTTTTTTTTTTATATTTATATGATGTACACACGTGTCCTAGTTTGTATCATTGGGTGTCTCATCCTAATTGTTTTTGTTTTCATTTGATTTTAGTCAAATATATACTCGTAATAAAGTTATATTATTTTTTAAATCGTCAAACGTTCATTCCATTACCAACTTGTTTAAGTAATGATTTTGCAACTTGTTTAAGTGATGTTTTCAACTGGTACAAGTTCATGACACATACACACATATATATATGTGTGTATATATACATATATCTAAAGGAGAGGGAATAAGGAGACGGAGACGTTTTTGGCGATGGAAGAGTAAGCCGTCTGGGAAGGATGGATGGAATCGAAGAAGAGAAACTTCGAAGGATCCTCACATGTCGGACTCCACGTGTCACACAACGGTCCTGCTTCTACTTTTCCCGTCCCGCAACACCCTCTCTTCGTTTCTTCCAATCCTATATATATATATATCAAGAGATACGGAGAAGATTATATAGAAATACGAAGAATATCCTAAAAGATTATCCATATATATGAAGAAATATCTTAGCATATATCCAATGTTACTGTTATCTCACTATCACTACATATATATAACAACACCACGCATGAATCTATGGGTTGCAAATTTCACTTTCTTAAGCTCGGTGTACTCGAAAACCGACAAACGGCAATCGAAATCGGAGGAACGAGTGGTAGATTCTTCGAAACGATGAGACCGAACAAGGGGACAAAATTAAAGAATCCTAGTTAAAGGGACTCAAAAAATAAGGCCAAGCAAAGGGAAACCCTAGACAACTAAAACTATAACCATGACTAAATCAAAGCTTTGGACAAAAAGAAGTTTAACTTAACAGGGGGGGGATAAGTGATCCTCACCGTATTTTTCTGGATAAGTGATCATGTCCAATATCGGGGAATAGATGTCGAGGTACAGAATCTTGGAACCCGAAAGACTCTGGTTCAAGCGGAGGGCTAGCCTCTGGAGCTTGGAATTGTAAAACCGGGAGTCGTTGTTTTGCTCATCCGAGCACGCCCTTTTGAACATGCGAGGATATTGTTTGAGGCTCTCTATTGTTATTTGTATCGGAACACATCCGATCGGCGGTAGCCCCGACACGATAAACCTCTTCGCGCCTTTTTGGTATAGTCTCTATACACACAATAAGAGATGTGTATATATAAATATATATTGGTTAAACCTAATTTGAAACATTGACAAAAAGAACCTTATTCAACGAAATGATGATTAAATAACCTAATAAAGTTTAGTATGGAATGTAACTTAGGCTGTTGATGTGTTTTAATTTGATTTGTATATCATGCAGGAGAATCTGGGGTGAGACTAAATTTTTTAATTTGTATAACTCCAATTTCTTTATATTTTTCAGGTGTATGAAATTGGACCGACAAGAAAGAGGTAAACGTGTATGGTCCGAGGCCCATCTTAGTTCAAACCCAAGTTGACCCATTCGGACATGCATATAATACGATGTGCTAAATACGTGCACAACGTGTCAATGCCGGCTTTAGAATAGAAAAATAAAATAAAATAAACCAATATATATATATATATATTAGTATATTTGAGAATATTATTATCAGTATTTTTAACCTTACCCTATCATATTTTTCAAACCGAGTCAATTGCTACGTAAGTAAATATGTGTAATATATAAATAAATAAAATAAATCAAATATATATGGAGCATTTAGTTTGACGTAAAGTACCTTGATAACACCTTCGAGTTTGTTCAACAAGGAATCTTGATAATTGGAAACCGACTTAAATCCTCCGAAAGGTTGATCGTAGAGATTAATGGTCATGTCATTAGTGCCCACACTAATCACGAACAAAGCGTTACTAATCACCCGATTAGTCTCCCCATCTCCCACCGCCTTCTTCATCTTTCCGACAGCCTCATCGAAGTAAGTCAACTCTTTGTCCATTGTCAAAGCCGACGACAACCTCGCCGTCCGGTCGTCTAAACCGGTCCCCGCCGAGGCAAAGCTGACTCCGGTCAATAAGTCACCGGGTTGGACCGTGGGGTCGAGGTAAGCAGGCAATGTGGGCTTGAGACCAAGAAACGATGCCAGGAAATCGGTGGTGAGTTTTCCATTGGAGAATCTTCCGGTGGAAAGTTTCCCCGGAAAATCTATTCCGTACGGAGAATGGTTTCCCCGGAAAATGGTAGGAATGTAATTATTGTTGCCGGGATCCACCGTGGAGTCGCCGAAGACGAAAAGGGCGGTAACCGGTGGAGAAGGTGATGCATGTGATTGGTAGGAGAACAGGAGAAGAGTGAAGAACGTAAGAACGGTGGTGATTTTGCGACTAGGGTTCATCATTGTTTTAGATTAGGGTTAATTAATCATGAAATTTTGATCTAATTTCGTGATTAAAAAGGGGTTAACTCTTTCTTAATGCAGGTTTGAAAGTTGGTGTAATGGTATTGATGATAAAGGGTGTGTCATATATAGAGAAGAAAGACGAAACCGTAAAGCTACAAATTTTGTTGAGTAGATTATATTGTTTCTTACATCGGATCTTTATCTGGCAATCTGTAACAAATCCAAGATTAATTTTCTAATCTTGGCTTGACAGTTTTGTCTACTTTGACTTTTAAAGAAAATAAATTTAGACAGTTTCCTCAATTCGTAACATAACAAAAATGAGCGCATATATATATATATATATATATATATATATATATATTACTGTTTTTATTTTCTTATTTTGTTAAGGTGAATACGAATCAAGTCCAACGAGGACTACATGCCAAATACATATCCACATTGACATGTTTATCTCTTTTTTTTTTTTTTTTTTTGGGGAAGGACGTGTTGTCTATCACAAAAGAAAAAAAAAACTAAAATGGGATGACTAAATAAACCGAATTAAAAAAACAGCATTAATAACGATATTTTGACGGATTTTTAAAAAAGGTAAAAGAAATATGGTTTCTATATAAGAATTTTCCAACTTTCATTCAAGGATCTGTTGTTAATTCCCATTTTAATAAATAACAGAGATGCAAACAAATAGATACGCACTCGCATTTTCCATTCGATATCGTTTTGTTTCTTTTCTAGTTATAATTTTTTTATATTTTAAAAAAATTATATTTATTTAGTTTTTACGTTATATTTTCTATTTGACTTAAGTTCCGTTTGATTTTATTAAATATTTATTTAAAAAATATTTAATTCAATTTTAAAATATGTATACATTATTCTATTCATTTGATTTTTCTTTTGTACATGTGTACGGCATATATGAATGTTCACACGTGCTAATGTGTGGTTACATATCTTTTGTTTCGAGAGCATATATTATTTTTATAAAATCGAGGAGAAATTCGGAATGGGAATGCCCTTTAATTTATTTAACCATGAAGAAGATGGAAGATGACTCATAAATGGCGTGCATGGAGTTGCATTGCATGTGCCCGACGACCATTGCTTTTAATGCGTACATTATTATTATTTTATAACGTATAATAATATACGTTATAACAATTGGATCCTCATTTAAGTGTAAATCTATAAACCCAATATACGTTATAACAATACTAATTCGTTGCTTTGAATCTCTCAAAAGTCAAACCCTAAATCCAACATAGAATAGTGGAGACAACATGCATGCATATATTTTTATATATGTAAGAATATGCTTTCAATTTCATTCCTCCACTTGCTTTTTTGCTTACGCTCAAACGCCAGTTAATCGAGTTTATAAGAATTTGAATTTTTTTACAAATCAAATTTCTTTTATATTTCTCAGTTATTGTTTTTTATTTTCAGACGAATATCGATGTTATTAGAATTAAAATAAGGAGATAGAGATCGACAACAATTCACAAAATTAATTATAACATCAAACTAATTTAGAAATAACAGTTAAATGATTTCGAAAGATCAAAATTCGTTGTATTATTGAATTTAGACCATTTTTCATATAAAAAAAGGAGGGTTTCACGAGTCAGGTGTGAAAAGATAAATATTTAAAATATCAACATAAAACTTTTTATAACAAATGTTAAAACCAAACAATCGAAAGCAAAAATAAATATTGATACTAACTAATTCTGTAAAAAACTTAAAATAATTAGAATTCACATAACCTTTTATTAATGCACTTGGCAATAATAAAATAAGGGATAATTCTATTTAAAACCCTGTACTTTTCTCTCGTCGCAATTTAAACCCTATACTTTTTTTTGATCCAAAAAAACATTGTACTTTTAAAAATTGGCAATTAAAACTCTATACTTTTAAAAATTGGCAAATAAAACCCTGAACGAAAAAATATATTATTTAATGCTGACATGGCATCCTAGTCATCTGCCACATCATCAATCCTTAATATTTAATAATATTAATTAATATAATATAAAAATAAAATAATAAAAATAAAAATAAAATTTTAAAAATTATACACATACATATATAATGAAATGATATACATATATACACATATATAAACATATTTATATATATACACACATATATATAATACATATATATATATATATATGTTTTATATGCATATGTGGTATATGTATTTTTTTTCTAAAAATCATGCATAT